CCCTTGCGGGCTAACTATGTACCAGCCGTAAGGAATGATAACCACTGTCAGCGCGAGGGCAATGTGTGTCACAAGGATAGAGAATTGGTCTTCGTTTCCTGGATTTGTGTACAAAGTTATACATCTCCAGGTCAGAAGCGGTGCAACAATTGATGGACCAATGTAAGCAAAACGTCGGAAATATTTGTACTCTGGATTATGGGCGGGAAGAGGTATTACTAATTCGGATTTCGGATCCCAGTACATTGATTGAAATAGGTGCAACGAATTGCGTTTCGTAATGTGTATTTCTCGGCGTAAATGCTGGATAAGCTGGCCAACCCACATTGTTTTTAAAGTTGCCATGGTTTAAAATGGTTGCTTGTATTATTGCTTGTTAGCTTCTACGTACTACTAATACTAACATACTTGGTAAATCCCACAACGGGTGCAGTAAATATATTCAACTAATTCTATTTGGAAAGCATGTAATCTATTCATATGATTTGAATTGAATAGCGAAATTGATCCGCTTAAGTATTATTGAGTCGTTGAGATAAGCAGATTTCAGATTGTTCGACTGAATATCCCTTGCAGATAAACAGTTTTATGTATGTATGTCCTTACATCTCAAATTGTTTAATAATGTTTCTTAGGTACGTATAAGTACGTAATGGAATAATCAAATTTGATTAAACTCCGTCCACGATATAAAAATATATGATGGTTTGATATCAATCTTTGAATAAAACCCCTTTGAATAAAACCCCTTTGAATAAAACCCCCATAGATATATGGATTTATAGTTTAAAAAATACTGATATAAAAAATTCAAACTCGTGCGTTTTTAGGTGTTTATTTATTCAGATGAATTGCAATTGACGACCTACAGCAATCATTAATCCCATCAAAATTTATTGTTTTTAATCCATGTAATCTTCTTCAAATTGCATTGTCTCCTGATTGTTAAAGCTGTTTTGGTAGTTTTGCATATACAGTATCTTTATAATCATGACATAAGAATCCCAATTGGTAAGCATTATTATTTCAAGAGAGTAAAACTATGATTCATCCACCTCATATTTTTTATTAACATTGGCGAAAATATTTTTATTGGCGAAAATAACAGCAACCCAATGTCTCAGAATAAATTAATAGTTCGTATCGAACTTATTAGTAACTTGTGAAAAATTAAAAGTTTGCATAAATTGTGTAATAGGTACATCTTGAAAGGTAGGGTATTTTCTAGTTATCTCATTACTGACTCATCACATTAGGCTGCTTATGCATCAGTATATCCTATTATTGCTAGTATTGTCGAATGGAAGTACCTTGCCATGTTTGTTTCTATATTTTTCTTCAATTCATTGCACACATCGTACAAGAACAACAACAATATTGTACCTCTGTTGACACACTGGTCAATATATGTACATACCATATAAAACAACTAATAGTTGTTTTTATATAGAATTGTATTCTTACTTACTTACATATCTAGATTAATAGTATATAAATTTAAAAATCCTTAGCGAATATGCAAACTCCGTCAGTAACAATGTGAAAACTAATTAACGCTTTTACTCGTGGCTAACATTGTCGACAATTGTCGTTTTGTATGAAATGGTTTAATTTGGGATTAAGACAAAGTCGTCCTGAAAAATCGTGGTCATGGCGCGGAAGGACGACAATTGTCGTTTCTAGGAGGTCCTTGATTTTCACCATTTTCTGTCCGCAGCCTAAAATTTGTTGCAATTTTGAGGGATTTCTCCTATGCCAACACAATGCTAAATTTGAAAATTTTCTTACCAAAAATTTGGATATTTCCCAATCTAACGCAATGTAAGGTTTTTGAATTTTCAGTTTTTCTCGAGTTTTATTAAAACTCCTAAATTCCTCCTCCCACAACCATGACCACAACATACTTACATGATTCCAGGGCAATTCATAGCAGACGATTCATAGTCATATATCTCGTAGCATACAATTCATAGCACGTACATACCATAGTCCTTATAACTGATAGTAGTATCCATACATAGCGCATCTTTTCGTAGCAAGTACAATACATATCTATATCGCTACGTAGCATTACATAGCGAGAAACCAAATATGCAAATTTTATCAACTGATTAAACACAAAAATTTTAACTCGAGTCAAAGGTTATACCCCTGCTTTGTCCGTTTGTTTATCTGACAATAGCCAACATACCCTTCGTTATTCTCATCTTATTCACTTGAAATTTTTACTCAACTGATTGTACACATACTTTTACACATTTTTCCAATTAATCAAATCGAACCTCTACATATTTTGTATAGGGTTTGCAAAAGTCTCTTAATAGCTTCACATCGCATAGTTTGAAACCCACCGAAAAATTACATCGGCAAACCTTATTGGGGGTACATACATAATTTGTGCGTAAGATTTGGGATTCAAAACGTACAAAATATTATGTGGAAGGTGGTGATTTTTAATTTTAGCTGACAAAAAACACTACGAATTGTATTGCTATGAATCGTGTTAAGCTATCAGATTAATAACTACGAAAAAAATGTGCTACGAGTTGTAGCATGCTACGAATTGAATGTTTGCTATGAATTGTACCTACTTACATATAACGTACCTGAATTAATGCATTTTCTTGTAGTCAATGATACTCGTTAAAGGGTTAAGGAGATTGCATATATCTACAGGTTTGTTTAGTACATATATTTATCATGAACTACTCAATGTGAGATCTTGCCAGACCAGCGTGCTGAGAATTTCAGATTAGGTTGGGTATGACCCAAATAGGTACCACACATATGAACGCAATGTCATAAATACATAGAACCATGATAATACATAGTACGGATAGGTTTTTCCAGGAATTTATAAAGGTTTTTGTACCTGAATTGTGGAGTTGTAAAGACAAATCTGATCAGGCTGGAAGTTTATTCATGTATGCAAATCAATTATGCCATCTTACTCCTTATGCTTGAAATTATGTATTTGTTTATGTGCAAAGCACACAAATCAGGTACTTTTCCGGTTTCAGGTACAATTATTTTTCCCGACTAATGAGTGATGACAAAATGTTGGTATTATTCTACTACAAACTTTGGTTTAAGGTTTTATTACATCGCCTGTTAGTCCGACATACTTGGTTTCGAGAGAAACGGTGGATTCACTATTTGTCTGGTTTCACTATTTCAAATTAAATTGTGTTTGAAGCTGTGATAATATTATATTTGTATTCGTGTAATGATGACTTCAAATGAAGCGGTTAACATTTTGGCGGCGTATAAATCGTATCAAAGGGGATGCCATGTTTTGTCCGGATTGTCGATGCATGTTGAGACAAGCATTATGTAAGTTACGCATTTTAATATTAAATAATGAAACCGTTTAAATGAATATTTTTAAATTTGGTATTAATTGCTTGTGGGTTAATTGCAGCTACGGACTTCTCGGACCTAGTGGATGCGGGTATTATTTAATTCGTGTCTATAAACGTTTGCAAAAAGATTCCTTTTGAAGGGAATGCCGCCTTCAATGTGAGGGCAGAATGTTTAAAAACCCAGCTCGAATCGAGCTTTTTTGGAATTCAAAAAACTAACTGCTACAAAAATGATCTACAATTTCATAAAATTTCAACAAACTTCAATTTTGATGAGGAAAACCCTGAAATATGTAAAATATGGAAAACTATGTTTGAATTTTTGAGATTACGGTTCGATATGATGTCAGTATACAAAGTTTTAGGACGATCTGATTTGGTATGAAAAAGTTAGAAATACATACATAACCGCCCTCTGGTCATGATTAACCATAAACTATTTACAAAGACCCGACTTCGAATGTTTACTCACACTTGTATCTATTGCACACTATAATTTTATTAAACAAATTATGGTATTTATCTCGATTAATGAAGACACGGTCACATCAATCGCAATTGCAAGTTTCTTGTTAGCTTTTGATCGCATGTGTCAATCTTTCTTTTGTCTAAAATTACTTCACCAATCAAGAAAAAATATTTCTTTTCAGCAAAACCACGCTGCTTAATTGCATATTGGGCCTGACTACATTGGATTCTGGCCATATTTCTGTATTGGGTAGAAATCCTGGAACAAATTCTATAAATATTGGTCACATGCCACAGGTCTTTCAAATTTTATAACATTTCTCAAGTACTTATTTCATGTTTCCCCATAATATATTAAGGTTCCCGTTTAGTTATTGAACGTCTGATTAAGCATTTACACTTTCGTCATTATAGGATGTCGCATTATATCCCTTGAAGATAAGGGTGATTTTTCAATATTTCGGGAAACTATTGCGATTAACTGATCTAGAAATATTGACTCGAAGTAACGAACTTAAAGTAGCATTAGATTTAAATGATTTAAATCAATGCGTTTCTACGCTCAGGTGAGTTAATTAATACTCCAAGTTACATAGGAACCAGTAATATATATTGGACCCTTTCCTTAACGTTTGTAGCGGAGGGCAGCGTCGCCGCGTTTCGCTCGCAGTGGCTTTGATTAACTACCCAAAATTACTTATTTTGGAGTAAATTTTAGACTTTATTTTAATGATTTAATAACGATTTAGTAATTTATAATTTCACAATTTAAGTGAACCGACCGTCGGGATTGATCCCTTGTTAAGGGAGTCGATATGGGATTATTTGTGCAGCTTAACAGCTTCCCATGGGACTACAATTATTGTAAGGACCCATTACACCGAAGAAGTGCGAAGATTGAATAAGGTGCGTGGTTTCCATAAAATGTATAATTTTCCAATGACTTTTGTTTTATTTGAAGTTGATTGGATAAGGTTGGAATAATGCGGAGAGGTCAGTTAATTGGAGAAGATTCCCCAAACAATCTAATGAAAATGTACGGAGGAGGTTGTTTGGACAACGTGTTAGTAACCCTATGCAAAATTGACGATGAAACAAACCTGCAAAATATAAATACCTTGGAATTAATTGCAGCTCCCAAATTGTACCTCGATGTACCCGACACGAATTCTAGGAAAACTCTTGAACTACTCTCTTACAAGAAAGCGGAATATTCAAAATATTTCCATAACAATGATAATCCAATCCTTTCAAGGGAAGATGACGTCAGAGAAATACCGAATCATAAACTTGCTCAATTTTCCGAAAGCCTAACAAAAATAATGGCATTAACGAAACGTAATTTCTTAATCAGTTATAGAATGCCTGTGTAAGTGAAAATTTGACGCATTAATTAGCAAATTAGTCCAAACCAAATTTAATAGGTGGCAAATCAATTACATAATTTTAGCCACGTATGATTAATTAATTTGCAATTGTATTTAGATATATCCTACTGACAATGCTTCTACCCTTGGTGCAGGCAACTCTTACAGTTTACACGTTTGGAAGAGACCCTGTTGGACTAATTTTAGCCGTGTCCAACCAAGAAGGGATTTGTCACCAGGGAGTTGGGTTATCAGTAAGGGAACGATTCGAACATCGTTGGAGTTGTGGTTTCATAGAAGAAATTATGAACGATTCGCAGCAAAAGATTATTCTGGTATTAGTAAAAGCAAAAGAGAAGACAGTTGTTTATTCACGATACAAAGCCTCGTACTCACGACGGATTTTTCATGCGATTCGGCAAGTTCTCTGGTTTGTATTACGCAAATTACTCCTTCAAAATATAGATTCTTTGATAGGTTTTTAATATGAAGAAATCCGTCCTGAATACAAGGCTTAAGTCATGAGTACTACATTTACGGATTTCTATTAATGTCTATGTGCTATTAAAAATTTAGAAAGTCTACGAATCCAAGGAAGCGGCACGACATTCCGTCGAACTAGGAGATACGATTGGATTCATGCATTTTCCCAGAAATTTTTCCCAGCACAATTTAAACAGGTTAGCTTTTCACAGGCTCGCAACAAGTGAAGATTTAGCCGGAAGCACGGTTCAAATTTCGCTGGATATGACAAGTAAATAAGTTTAAACCTATCCAAAGAGTAATTTTACTTACTATAAAAATTTCCAGACAAAATGACGACAAGCTTCGTACTAGAAACTTTACAAGGAAAATATTTCAAATTTGTGGAAAAGATGGTATCGCGAAATAACGCAGATATGGATTTACGAGAATTTTCATTAATTAAGGTTGAACTAATTCTGAATTTTAGTTCAATAATTATACCTCGAGCGGTTCTCAGTTTGATTGGCAGGATTACTTGCTACCTGGCGTTATTCCGCTGTAAGGAAATATTTTTAAGGGGGAATGTTCATCAATTACGTAACGCGAAGGGGGGTGGGTGCATATTGATGGGGGAAGGAAGTCTAGAGAATCGATTTTAGTGCTACGTAATTTATGGAAGTGCTCTCGTACAAGTAGGATATTATGATAAATATTTTCGTTTGTCATATTGAGAAATGTATTTCTTATTTCAGAGTGATATGTTTGTTCTCAATGATTTGCGCATCATCCTTGATTAAAGATAAGGAGGAGGGAACCCTGCAAAGATCACGGGCATGCGGAGTGGAGCTGTGGCATATCTATGTATCCTATTACTTATCCGAGTCTCCCACCACGCTGGCACAGATTGGAATTTATTTTATGAGCTATCTCCTACTGGGTGGATATACGAATAAGGGGTTTTTTTGGCTGTGTTTCTTAACTGCGGTCTTATCAGGTTGGGTCGGGATTGCGATTGGTAAGGTGCCCATTTTTGGTAAAGATTAGTACACTCTTAAAAATAAAAATCTTGTAGGGTCGCATATGTTTATACTTTACTCCGTACCGGGATTGATTTGTTAATATCGTCTTACCGGATTGATGGTATCAGCGGTCAGTTTTTTGTTCAACCGTAATGCCCAGAGTAAAAGCAACATATCCTCCTTCCAAACCATGGGAAGCCTGGGATTGGCTGGTCGTGTTTTTGACTGCACACTTAAAAATATAATGCTAAATGCAATGATATAGAACAGATTGAAATAATCGAGATCGGTTTGTGGCATCATACGTATGACCTCAGGGGGTGGATCCTATCAACTTTTGGGATCAATCGGACAATTCCCCCTAGCACTTGGCGGTGTGGTCGGCGGAAAGGTAGATTTTTACTAAATGCGAAACTTGATTGGATCCTCTCCCTGGGGTCATATGTATAATGCCGCAAACCGATCTCGATGATCTCCATTCGTTCAATATTATAACATGTAACATTAAATTTTTAAGTGTGCAGCCAAAAATAGACCAGCCAATTCCAGACTTCCCATCGTTTGGAAGGAGGCGCTTCCACACATATGATTCTCACTCTGGTGGTAATGCCCTTTATTACTTACCAGTGCCAGTAGAGTCATAAATGTACTCCGGTCAGTAATAATTTAGTACATACAAGTTTTCTAAGACTGTGCTTTTAAAGATTTTGTTATCTGATAAATATGTAAATATAATTTATAATTTATTTATAGGGCTACTTATCGGTACAGTTTTGTCTCGGAGTATGGAAGTCGTAATGTTTTCGCTCATGGCACTATTAGCCACATTTTATTCCAGTGGTTAGTTCTATATTAACGCAAAACTTAAAATAGTCCCATAGTATTATTGGGCAAACGATTCTCATGTATTGGGGCCGTCCATAAATTACGTAACTGCGATATATTTTATACCCCAGCTCCCCCTTGGATATATTTATGTAAAACGCGAACATTGGGGTAATAGACCTCCTCTCTCGCCTTACGCGCATACCTGTTCACCTTCATTCATGTGACTGATTATGATAGAGAATAGGGGTGAATGAAAATGAAATTCCTGTCATTTGAATGAAAATAAGAGGAAGATTCAGTCATTTCAGAGGAATGACTGTGAATGAAAGATTTGTAACTCCTTTAACTTTTTACCCTATGCTTGATACATGGGGTGAAGTAAAAAATAAAATGAAATGATTTTGAAAGAAAACGACTGAATATGAATGAAAATCTTCAGTCAGAATTCGGGATGACTTAACTTTGAATGAAAAACAAATTTTTGAACAGGTATGATTTGTGGATCGCCCCTACGAAACTAATTGCAAAGTTTTCATGTAAAGACTCCCCACCCCTTAATTGGGATAGCTAATGCTTAACTGAAAATGCGACTTAAATAATTTAAATTATGATTTAGGATTTTCTTGGCCTTTGAAGTCCGTGAGGATTCCATATCGTTGGATTTGTATGTACTTGAATCCCGTGAGTCCTTCAATGATGGCAATTAGACGGATTTGGAACAGTGCGTGGGGTATCGAGCATCCTCTCGTTTACGGGGCGTTACTTGGATTAATTATTTGGATAATGTTTCTAACAAGTATTGGTTTAATTGTGGAGAAAAGGCAGAGAAATAAATAGAACAGGGATTTGTTTCCATAATATTTTAATAATAATATTTTTTATAGTAATATTTCATTTTTTGAATAATAATCTACATACTGCGGACACTTTAAAACTCAACAAATTACTGTAATCAGTCCTTCTCTGAAAAGCTAAGTGACAATAGACCTCCCATTGTACTTGTAATACTAAATAAATTTTGTTGGGATGATAAAATTTTGGGAAAATTTGAAAGTTTAATAAATACTTATGAGCTGCTTAGTCAAGCTTACATAGATGCTTACGTAACTATAATAAATATGAATATGTTTGTACAGTCGTTGTATTCGACATTTTAAACGCGTAATGATAAAATATGTTGAGAGTTGTTCAAATATACCAGTGACATGATGGTTATTTCTTTAAATACATCGGTAACCAGGAAATGACTTCTTGATTTGCAACACAGATTTTATTTTATTCTCCTTCTACATATGTAAATACGCACGTAGCGTATTGGTAAGTATGACGCCAACTAAACTTTCTTCAATGTTGAATGTAGGATTATGACAGAAAATAACAATATATGTAAAAATTAAAATGCTAACCCAGGAGGGACCGTGTACATAGAACCATTGCTGCAAGCTATATTGACTTTCATCATCTGGATATTTACAAAAAAATTCACATTAATCATAAAATTTTTGATCGAATTTAGAAAGTATTAAAAGAGGAGCAAATGAAACTTGCCCTTCCCTGGTCAAGAAAGGATATAAAGGTTGAAACCGTCCATATTTCCCAATGTATGTATTTACAGTAGAATAGATTGGCTTTCGAATAAAAAAATAACAGGAATTTCCACCGTCAACCGTTCCGAAGATATTTAACATCAAAAACGTTACCAAAGAAAAAATCCACGCTACATACGTAAATTGATAATTCGTGTTCGTATTGACGTCAGGCGTATGACGTAATTCCATATTAATCTAAATACATGTCACCTCTAAAGCTCCCTTTTTTATCAAAAGACATAATTTTATTTATTTCTACATATTGTCATCCACGTCAGTAAGTATTATAAAGGATTGAACACCGCCAGTACTTGCTCAATAATTGATTTAACCAATACGTGCAGAACAGCCGCCGGATCCCTTTGATTCGTTATCTTAATTAACTTCAGCAACAATTACACTGAACAATTTTTCACTGAATGTCACTGGGAAATGCGTAATATGCAATAACATGTACATATATTTATTACTTGTTGATAACCAATCACAATATGCTGGAGAAACCCATATAAAACGCGAGGATTTTCACATTTCTATAATCGCTTTAGTTCCCTCTGGCAAATCAACGGTACACAATGATTTCAAAACTTCTTGCCATCTTTACTCTTGGGTGCGGTTTCTATTTCCAAGGTAGGACATAAACTAAATTAACTTTTGTCAGAAAAATAAATTCGACCCTACTCTTTTACATAGCTTCCACTGCCGCTGAATGTGACGTGGGATGGACCCCTTACAACTCGGATGTTTGCGTTAAAGTCTTCCAAACCTCCTTGATGAACTACTCCGCGGCACAGGCATTTTGCGACAGTCAAGCCTCCCAATCCGTCCAACCGAGACCGAGTTTACCCATCGTGCTGACCGCGGACTACCAAAACTTCCTCGCCAACTTGTTCTTCGCCGAGGCATTTGACGACATCTGGCTCGGTGCCAGATTTGACGAGCCTACATCCAGTTTCATCTGGAGCGATGGGAATATCCTTGAGTACACAAATTGGGCAGACGGCTACCCACGGACGATTAATGATTCTGATCGTTGTATGAATATCAGACCTCCAAACGCTAAATCTCCGGCATTATGGTGACCAAGTTGTTTTTTATGTGATAAAATTAATATTAATTGTCCGAACAATTTATTTAACAGGGCTGACGCATCTTGCCAAAGAAGTCACGTCGTTGCTTGTCAACGTCAACCTAGTATGACGTTGGACGAAGTGATTACGGAACTCATCAAGTTACGGAAAGAGTCCTTTCCGATTGGATTCATTTATGTGGAATATCCCTTTAACCAGCCTCCAAACATTTTATGGCCAACGATGACTTGGCGCGATGTTACGAACAACTATGCTGGTAAAGACCCCCACTAAATTTGGTTTTTTGCTCATATTAATTTTTTTACGGGGTGGACGTAGGCAGCTTTTTTCGAGCCCAGGGAGGAAATGCTGCTGCATGGGGTGCGCTTCAGGGTGCCTGTGCCCCCCGAATAACACATGTTAGGTTTGGGGGCGAAGCGCCAGATTTAAATGAGCTTCCAGAAAACGGATGGTCCACCGGTGTAAAAACGGATGACTGGAGCAGTGGATGGGACCACTACATCCGGGGACAAAGTTTTCACACAGCTGGGTGTGAAGTTAGGCCACAAAATTTTGCCATCCGAGTGTGGCAAAGGGTGGCTTAATTACAGTTATCCAAAAGCTTAGCCGTGACGAATTGTAATAACTGGAAATTCTAATAAAATGCAACTACCTATGTATAACTTACTTACTTACTTATCTTGCCTATCACATTCTCATACATAATTGAAATAACAAAATGCTCCCATTATCAATGAAAGTGAAAGTCTTTCATGCATCTTATGTACTTCCCTTAATTTCAAACTATCTATTTATGTAAACGTAAAAAGTGTGAATTGCAACTATTTAGGATCAATGTTGCAAATTTCCCTTCCCAAACTTTTTTTCGCAAGGCAGGTGCACAAAGTGGGGAAAAGTGGCTTTTCCCACCAAAATGGGAAAAAATGGCCACCATTTATTTAGTTATGGAGATTGCTAATTTGTTTTAAATTCAAATTTTTCATAATCTGGCTTCGTATTCGTGATCTCCACAAGATTAAGAGCATTTTGACATATAATAAATATGTATGGACAATTTTCTACATTTTTACTGGAATATGGTATGTTCCCACATGTTAAATTTTAAGATTGTTCACATTTAAGCCGTGTCATGAACTACTCATTTGCTCAGAATTACACGGGGAACAGGAATATGAAGTTAGATTTTTAAAATCTTAACCTTAACAAATTTGTTTCATATCACGCCATAATTTAGTCTTTCCCACTTCCCATTCAATTTAGTGATAAAAATTGTATTTTGTCCACTTTTCCCCATTGTCCGGTAAAAAGTGGTACCACTTTTCGTTCCACTTCAACCTAAACCATTCTAATAATTATTTGAGTTTAAAGAATTTTTTTGATGCTAAGGAATTTTTTTAAGTTGCTGAGGATTTTTTTGTTGCAAAGGAAATTATTTTATGTTTCTAAGGAAATCGTTTTACGCTGCTAAGGAATGCTGCTGTGAGGTTTTTCTCAATGCAAAACTCGAATTTTTGGTTCTCAACGTTTCACTTCCCTTGTTGTTGATGATATACACGCATAGTGCACTGCTATAAATGAGAAAAACACAAAAGAAGGGTCTCTTCGCTTCGTCTGTATATTAAGCGTCTGCGTAAGTATTTTGGATGCTGGCCTACTTCGTTAGTAAACTGCCCAATAACTTTCCCTTTCCATACCTGTACTTCACCTTGAACTTGCTTCGTTCTTAATCTTTGCTTAGATTATATCCAGTGGCCTTGAACTTTACCTCTTTTATATTTGACTTTTTTGATTTCAGCTTTCCTTCCCTCGGGTGAATTTGGGTTATATAACAAAACATTTTTACTCAATCAACATAACATACAATTAGTGGTCTCAACCGTTCCCGGTTCTGACCGGAACCGTCGGTTCCGATTCGGTACGGTTTGGTACAGAGAACCGATCTGAACCAAGAAAAAACCGGCCGGCTCGGTGTGGACCGGACCTTTTAAATCAAGCAGCGAAAGCATTATGTTTTTAGAAAAACTTCTCTGAATTTTCCGAGCTATACACCAAAGTTCCATTGACTTTGTTGCACCTACAAAGTTCCCAAAATGAAATTTTCACTTGGTTTCAACCAAAAAGTTTACAAAAATCAAATTTTAACTTTGTTACACCACCAAAATTACCAAAATTGAATTTTAACCCGGTTACACCTCTAAAGTTAGCGAAATTAAATTATGACTTAGAATCCCAAGTTTTAGTGGCACCTATGTATCGTATGTTAAGTAGGTATGTAAACACTACCCGTTCTTTGGATCCCGTTCGGTTGCGGTTCCACTTAAAAATGTTCGGTTCAGTTTCTGTACTTGAATTTCGGTTCTCAGTTCTGAACCGGTCTTTCTTAATACCGAACCGAACCGTTCCGTTGAGACCACTAGATACACATTTCTAGAGGTAAGCAGATTTTGGGGAGGAAATTATGTAAATGTACTTTTATACGCATTTTTCCAATATAAAAGCTGCAACAATTCCGGACAAATTCCTCTCCCGTTCCGGAGCAGAAGGTTATCGGATACAATTCACATGGGGTTGCCAGAGAAATGTGGAAAAATCATGTGAAATATTATTAAGATGTCCCATTTTTTCCACGGTTTCGCCAGTTCAATAAATAAATTCATGCATGTATTCTTCACGTTTGTGGCACTCTTTTCTTCTGGAAAATTCAATCAGTAGGGGTAAGCATTGTCTGGTATGGAATATAATAAGTTTGACCTGTAGTTAATTGTGTTTAAATTCTCGAATTTTGAGCTCAAAAACTTGAATAAAAGAAATGTATTCAAAAAACGAAAGAACTAGGATGGTTTAGAGACGATAAGTATTGTATAAAGAATCCATTCCAAAATGACCCATTAAAATGAAGTCATGGCTTGAGTGAGACAAACTAATTTTTCCTTTAACATCGTGACAAAAATAGTTTATTCCGAAGTTAAACTTCAAACTCGAAATAGTTTTTCCAAAGACATGTGACTGTTTTGGATGTGACAACAATTGCGATATGCCATTATTATGCCGTATAATAATGGCCTATCGCCATTGCATAATTTATGCGTCGGATCTTTTGACAAGAGTTCATATATTGGTTTACAAATTTTCACGTATTTCAAAATTTGAAAATTTAAAACGGGAAAATTCTATAACACCTCTATAATTCTGTAAAAATGCTTTCATTAATGTATTACTTTTTATTGAATAATTAATTTCCATGCGACCGCTTAACCGAACTTATAATTTTCGATAACTTCCCTTGCTGATAACCTGACCAGCAAATCAGGGATAACTAACTTATCAACTTTAAAACGCCGTTGATATGCAAATCACTTTGTCTACTTTCACTTCCGTTGCGGAACATTTGCTTTCGCTTCAGTTGCCGACAGACATTTCCAGCTTATAATATAGATGCATATGAGTATGTTTGTACAGTCCTTGTATTCGACATTTTAAATGCTTAATGATAAAACATGTTTAGAGTTGTTCAAATATATGTACAAGTTTGAATTAATAATGATATGATATGGATATTTCTTGTAACCTGTAAGCTGTATGTACATCTGTAAGCAGTAAATAACTTCTTGCTTTGCAACACAGATTTTATTTTATTTATAACACAGATTTTATTTTTTTCCTTGTAAACACACACACGTAGCGTATTGTTGAGTATGACGTCATCTGCACTTACTTATATATGTGTAACAAAACTTTATAAAACAAAAAAGGATGTTTAGTCATCCAGAACTAACCCTGAAATGATTAAATAAAATCAAAATCTGAAACTTTGTTTGCCAAATTCTTCTACATATTTATTTACAGGCTTCTGATTTTTCAAAAGTAAAAGTAATATGCCTTAAAAAATCGCAAAAGTTCTTTAGCAGATGATTAATATCCTTGATTTGATTTTGTTTAAAAATACATTATTTCCAACCTTCATCTGATGTTCGTTAAAAAAATTGAATAAATATATGCATAATTAAATCGTTATCAATGATAACCAGCGACTTGACGTTTTAAAACGTGTGAAGACTTTGCTAGATATTAGTTTTGAACGAATAGGAGCATAATAAACAAATAAAATACTTACCTCGTTTTCTTGTTCTTTTTTGACTTTTCTGCATAATCAGTTGTTGCCCTACTACGTCGCTCCCGTTCATGAGGTCTGCAAATGCGAAATGATAAGTTGGATTTCGACTGGGACAATTTTAATAATTCGTGGGAGGGAAAGAAATTAGCAAAACCCATATTTTTTGGTTCCTTGAAATTATTAGGTTTCTTCGAGCTTACAAACTTTGCCTCAAACGTCTTACCCCTATTTTTTTACCAGTTTTAGAATTTTGAAAATCCTTCAGGGTGCGAAAATTTTGAGAATGTGTATTTTTTTGGTTTTGGTATATAAAGCACCAACATTAGGTGACATAATTCTAAAGATTGACACGGTTAAATTTAAACCTGACAAGATATATTGGTAGAAATCTGGCATAGTCATGCACGTATGTATGTACCAATATTGATTTCTGGATATTAAAGTTACCATGGTTTGGCATCAAAATTATACCGGACCGAAAAAAATTTGCTACCGATATAATGGTGAAGTTTTAATACCGGGTTATTACTACCGGTATAACTTGACAATACCACTCTGCAATGGTCACATATGAATGCGACTTGGTCTTGTTTTAATATTGGATTTGTACAGGTGTTTGTTTACTTAATCTTTCACCAAGGAAAATAAAAATTATTTCCGGTCGAAATCCGACTTCAGTTGAGTTTTCTTCTTCTTTGGGGTTGGTGGCCGATTGTATTCAACAAACAAACTGCTCGTTCCCGCCATCGATGAGGGCGCGGGTGATGCGTCCCGTCTGTAATATTTAAAAAAATTAATTAAAATTACTGCCTAGGGATCCAAAAAATTATGCTCCGTCAAAAAATTGAGACAGAATTAATTCCTTAAGAATTTTTGTGGTTCTAAATATGTAAAAAAAACTCTTCCAGGTAACCTCTAAGATTTTTGTGTCTATTTTTTTTGAACAAATGGTAATTAAATTTAGAATTTACGAACCGTCTCCTTCTTCTGCGTTTCTTTTCGTTTTCATTCTCGTGCATCCTTCTGTGGGCATCCCTCTCATCCTCGCCAAATTCCTGGCCAGGGCATTTCTTACAAGTGTAAATAATACCCGTGTCTGAACCGGAGCTGGTGTCGGAATCCATTTTTTCTATTTTTTGTCAAAGATTTTTATTTACTTATTAATGTTGTACACTCTTAAATACATATATCGTTACATTTTTGAAAAAATAATTACAGTCTCAGTCATGCATTAATCTGGATAAAGGGTAGGATGTCAGGATTTTGTACAGTTAATTTAATATAGAATTTAGGTATATTTGTGTTTTAAATAGCAACACTATTTTTAAGTGGAGGACTGCTGCTAATGGTACTTACGAAAAACTTGAAGTTTTTTTAACAGAATTTTTTGGCATATTTGTACCGAATAGATTATTTCTAGATTAAAAAAATGTTTTCTAAATTTAGAAATTTTTGAACATTGAGTGCCGTATATTTTTTGACACTCAACGTAGAAGTTTTTTTCTGGTACCTTTGGGAAATACTGGGGTAACGTGAGAAACACTGGGGTAACATGAGAAACACTGGAGAATGTGAGAAATGTATAGGCAGTCAAGGAAAGAGGGTAAGATTTAGCCGAAGAAGAGCTAAAGTTAGCTCCGGCTTTATTTAGCCGATCTGGAGCTAGATTTAGTTCTCGGAGCTAAATCTAGCTCCTCAAGTTCAATTTTAGATTAAATCCTATAGCAGGTGGATCACTTGGTCATTTAGTAGCTGGGGAAGTCAAAAACAAGTTTTAAAATCGGAAATTATTGTGGAAGAAGCAGAATATATCTACTTCCCTGGCCGTAAAATTTCATAAGGTTTCCTTGAAAGAGAAATTTCGTACATCATTTCAAAGCGAGGAAATCTGGAAACGAATTTTTTGTAAGTACCAAAATCTGAGCGACAAAGAGTCGAAGGAGGCTTGCCTACATTTCAACAGAGAAAGGCGTGGCCGTGCAAAACTTAAGACTTACATAAAAATTCATGGGGAATCCGAAAATATCAACCTCAAATACGCACCACGATAAAAAACCATCATAATGACCCCTTGAAAGCTAAAAACGATTGAATTTATTTTCGGAAAATGTCGCTCCACGTCCATGCCTGATGCGGCTAAGAGGTCAAAGATAAATACAAACTACTTTCATCATTTTAAGGCCCATAAGTTATGGGTCAAAGCGTGTACAAACAAATCTCCAGCAAAAAATACGGAAGGTCAAGAAAAAATGGTAAACGCATGACCTCCCACGCTTTGCAACCAAATTTTACCAAAAAAATTGGTCACTGACGACGAGTCCTACGTCCTTAAAGATGTGACAGAAGCTCCGGGAATGCAATTTTTTATGGGAAATATATCACTCAAGTAAAAACCGAAGAGAAATTAAAATTTTGTTACACATTTTTCAAGAAATTTCTGGTTTGGCTGGCAACAAAATATATGGTGATCAAATGGGCGTTTGATTTTAAAAAATGGAAACCCTCCAAATGTCTCTTATCTTCGCCCCATCGAAACATTTTGGACTCTATGTAAGAGGTAATACTCCCTGCTTTGTGAAACCGTAGATATTTTATGAAAATTTCGGTTCCGGTGGGAAAAAATTAGCAATGAAGTCTTCCGAAAAAGCATTAGTGACTGACGCGTCGAAAAATACTAAATACGAAGTGGATAGTGGATTAAGGCCTCCTTTCTTCGTGGTTATATTACGCGAGTAATGTTTACAATAACCTACAAAAATTTGAAATTCAAAAAATCATTTTTGACCATTTACGCGGCAAAATTCCAAGTGATCCACCTGCTATAGGATTTAGTCTATTAAATTTGAATTTCCCTGAACTGATTATTATCATCTCTACGACAAATCGTAACCTACGTGGTAGAGCCACATAGACATTCCGCATGGTAATGATTCATTACTACCTTATTTTGAGTGTAAGCCTACCGAAGGGCAGGGGAAAGTGGGACAACAGTAGAAATACGTTCTTTTATTCTGGCCTCTCCAGAATTAAGATTTTTTTCATGCACATCACCATTACTAACCCACATACGTATGCTGGAACCTCCTGAAACATTTTCTAACAGATGGGACAAGGAATTGTGCGAGGGACGGAAAGGATGACCCTTCCAATACAATAAAGGTTTTAGAAGGATGTTGTAGTAACGTTGTTTTATATATATTTATTTGCCTCGTGTCAGAAATATTTTGTCATATTATTCTTACGTGAAGCTAGTAAAATTTGAAATAGGTACATATGTACATACATAGGTACATATGTACATTTTGTGCAACAGGTTTTTAAAGAAGTAAAATCTACTGCATATCACGATTTTAGATTTCTTACCTTCAAATTGTGGTCGGCTTGTCGGTATTATAGTTTAAAATACTTCCGTTTTGTTGTTCCAAATGGGAATGATAAACTAAAAAGCAGACACGACCTCGTTGATGTGCAAGTGGCCGCCGTTTGCACAATAAAGTACATATTGCATAATTATGCCACTCCAGTTGTGCAAATTAAATAAAAATTTTCCATTTTTGGAAAAATATTAAATTTTCTTTAATTACTGAGGCGCATTTACTTGTGTGCAGATTGAAGATTTTTGGATAAAATTAGCAACCAATTGGAGATTACTGTGCAGCAATTAAATTTGATTGGAGGCAGATGATGGTGAAGGCAAGGCACAATTGAATTAAGAGGGTCCCTTTGTTCCTGAACGAATTCCTTTGTTCAGCAAGCATGCAAACCATGTCATGCTTGGGTACCCTTAGAAAATACATATGTACAGTATTATGGAGATGACTGGTGTTTGGCATTTACACACAGGGAAAGATATAAGGGAAATATGTAAATGTTACAATTTAACTATGTATGATACGTAAAAAATGATGCAATTATTATTCAGAAGTTTGTCCTGTTCAAATATGTATGCATGTACATTTTACTTAAACGAAAATTTAAAAAAATGAACCCGAGGGTAATTTATTTCCCTCAGAAGACATTTCGTTACTATAGTGTGTATATGTACATATCTGGTACATATGTACATATGTATGTGCATACATTTGCCGGTAACAGTCGTATGATATTGGAAGTTTTAAAGAATTGTAATTCAGATAGGGACACTTGCAGTTGTTTACGGCGCTGGTCATTTAGCTTTTTATAAATTGGTGCATTTCAAACTGATCATATTCTGCGAAGGCAGTTCTATAGTCAAATGAATAAATAATATATATGTATCATCCAAACTATTTAAATAAAAGTAACAAATCATTATTATTATTTTTACTGAACATGCCGAACCGAAGTACCTTATCATCCTGATCTAATATGCAAGTTACCTATGTACATATGTGCATAAGTAACAATATGAAGACTAATTAAGGTGAATGCATATTCAATTTTGTTGAGTACATAAATATTTATCTTGAAGTTCCCAATGTGAAATCTTCTCAAGTACAGTGCTGTATTTTGGGGATAACCCTAATTGGTATCATATGTATGTATATATGTATTCGCGCATGTAATGGAACCATGATAATACATCATACGAATCGGGATTTCCAGGAATTTGTAAATTGCATTTGCATCTGATTGTAACCAGAATTATGACGTAAGAAGTGAAGACAAATCTTATCACTCCAGAAATTTATTCATATGTATATGTAAATCACCTGTGTAATTGTTCTCATTATGCAGGCAATTATTTATTTATGCGCATCCATAGTACAGACATCAGATACATATATACATACATACTGACCCATTTCAGGTACAATAATTTTTCCGACTTATTGGTGAGGGCAAAATATTTGTACCATTCTATTACAAATTTTACTACGTTCATTGTTAGTCCGACATTGTTGGTGTTAAGGAAAACGGTGGATTTATTAGTTATCTTGCTTAATTGTTTCAAATTAAATAATAACTTTTCGGGTATTTTACGCTGCTATAATATCATAAATTGATAGCAATGACTCTAAACCAGGCGGTTAGCATTTCATCGGCGTATAAATCATATAAGGATGGATTTCATGTTTTGTCCGGATTATCGATGCATGTTGAGAAAAGCATTATGTAAGTTGCGCATTTTGAACTTAAGTAATGGAACATTTAAAATTAATATCTTAAATTTGATATTAATTACTTGCGCCTAAATTGCAGTTACGGACTTCTCGGGGCTAGTGGATGCGGGTATTAAATATTTAATTCGTTTATATTCTTCAGAGTCTGCAAAACGGCGACCGCTATGAAATTCAAAGAATTGAATTACATATGTACAAGGGTACATTCTCAATATATTTGCTTTTGTATATTTTTTAATCAATTATTTGATATTCGCCGCGGTAAGGATTTCAGGCCTCTAAAACTGTCCTTGTCGAAATCTTCCAGTGTCAAAAAATCCAGCCTGGTCCTGCGATATCTTATTTTTCTTCTGAGGCCTTGTACTATTTCATTTCATTTCAACTTTTATTCACGTGTAAATGGATATCAGTTAACAATAACTGGTTTGCAAACCATGACACAAAATGCTATAACTATATAAAAAAGCATATTAATATCTAACTACATTGTTCTAACACTTACTTCATAAATAATAATAATAGTCCTCAGAACGCTTATAAATTATATATTCACGACATGATTGTACAAATTTAACATAACTCATGTTGGGGTCCCAATCCCTAGGTAGTTTGTTCCAAAGTTTAACTGCTCGATAATGTATCGATTTTTGTGCAAACGTATAAGATGGGACGGTCAATAGGGGCCAAGTACGCCTCCCTGAAGACGAACTAATAGAGTGCAGAAGTTTTTTAAACGCATATTTGTACAAAAATGAGTCACGACGTTCTTTAATTGACAGGAGATTTAACTGCGTTAATAGATCATTCACATTAATTGATTGCTTATTTATCTTAAACCGCGTGTTTTTCCGGTATCGATACTTTTTTGCTAGAGAAGGATAAAAGAATTTCACTAGAAACGAGTTCACTTTATGTTGAACTGCGTCTAATTGAGCGTCAGAATGGATTGCCCAGATGTCAAGACAAAAATCCATGACTGAATGTATATGGCTGTTGACCATTATTGCCATTACCTTATTAGTGAGGTGGCGTTTAACGCTATGTAAGTACCCGAGCTTATTAGATACCTTCTTTGTTACCTGTTCGTATTGATCACTAAAACTCAGACTGGAATCTATGTACACACCTAGGTACTTGAAAACACTTACATTCTCAATCGATTCGCCATTACTTAACACTATGGGTTTACAGAAAGAAGAAGGTACATTACATCGCGGCTTACTAAAGATTTGAAATTTGGTTTTCGAATAGTTAATACTTAGGTCATTCATACCATACCACTATAGAACAATATTTGCTTGCTCAGTCATTGCTTTCATTAACAATTCAAGGTCATTACCAGCTAAGTATATAACTAAGTCATCTACATACAAAAGGAACGGGGTTGTTATAACTTTACAGATGTCATTCTGGTACGCAGAATAATACAAACTGCTCCCGGCCGCTCCTTGAACCACACCCGTGGGATTATCATAATATTTATGACCAACTTTAAATTTGAACACTCTTTGATTCATATAGTTATATAACAGACTGATATAATTCGGGTGTACATTAAATTGTTGCATTAGCTTATTGATAAGTATAGATCTATCGAGGCTATCGAACGCAGAGCGCGCATCATAGTAAATAGCAACACAATACCCATTCTTTTTATCGAGTGCGGAGTAAACATAATTCGTGAATTAGGAACGTGCAGTTTGACACGAGCGCTTTTTTCTACAGCCATGCTGTTGATTACATAATTTGGCGTCGATCCTGTCACATAATGGTGTATACAGTAATCGCTCGAAAATCTTGCAATACACATTTATCATGGAGATTGGGCGATAACTGGAAGGATCCAATTTCTTCCCCTTCCCCTTGTAAATGGGAACAACAACTGTTGAGCGGAACGATTGTGGAACTACACAAAAATTAAGTAGCATATTAGAAAATATTGTTAATTGTAACGCAACCGTGTCTTTACAACGTTTGATAATTTTAAGTGGTACATATAAATCTGAGGGGCTATCTTTAGCATTCTCTGTGATAGCTTTCTCAACCTCCTCAAAGCTAACTGTGGGGAACTTTTCACTTGTATCTGAAAAATATGTTAGCATATTTTCCTGTAGGATGTTTTCAGGTATCAATCTGTCCGACTTGATAACAAACTGATTGGCTAACACTTGATTAATATCATCCTGCGAAGTTACTGCCACCCCTTTCATAGGGTCAATAAGTTTACAAATATGTTCGCGTTGTTCAGGGCCCGTGAGTGGGGCGGGCAAGCTGGGCAGTTGCCCGGGGCGCTAGGGCGCCGAGGGGCGCCGGAGGGCGCCGAGGGGCGCCGGAGGGCGCCAAAAATTGTCTGATATGTTAAGTAATTTATTGGCATAATTGTAGTATACAAATTAAAATGAAACTGATTAAAGTAAACTTTATCTTCTGAATATTCCACAGCAATGAGAGGTATTTTTCAGTTGTATTTGAGTAGGGTCTGCCACTTCTGGCTTTTATGGGCTTAAATTTTTATGCTTCTTATTGTAATCGAATCCCTGAAGACCCCCATGCTATCATGGTTTTCGTGGGATTTTGTAAGACTTTGAAGCAAGGTGAAATAAACTTCCCTAAACCATACATAACTCCACTATTCATCAATACTAATTAGGTTATCGGATTCAGCATGGAATTTTCAGGATTTTCACATGTGAATTGAATTTCTAATATCACTAGCATGCACATAAATCCTAGCTTGAATAAATTGGATTCTTGGATTAATTACATTTATTCAAGACCTCCCAAAAGTCCACAAAAAAGTTCTTACATATGGGTTTTCTAGATAATCCCCGTTTTTTCGAACGCCGCCTTTGAGTTTAACATAGAAATATTACATACACAAAAATGAACCCTTTTTTACAAAATCACGGGTACCAAAATTCAAATTATTTTTCCCATTCACGATGTGCTTATTAACATGTAAAATTCAGATTTAGATCCGTGGGGTTCGTGTCAAACTCGTGTAAAATACTGTGGATACTCGTGTTTTTCTCGGTTGCATTAACCAAAATCCACCGCGTTCAACAACACGTGGATATTTCAAGACAAAACTCGTGTTTCACATTCGTGTATTTTTTGTTACAAACACTCGTGTCTAATACGTGTTAAAATGGTGTATAGTTGCATTGGTGAGATCCCCCTTGCAGCAAGCACAGAAAACTGGTAAAGAGGGAGATTCAAATCGGAGTCGGATAAGATGTAATTTTTAATACTTACGTTATCATTGCTTTGAGTCTTTTATCCTTAATTGTAATAATTAAAATGAAATAAAGTCGTGTCATGAACGGGATCAATTGGGTCAATTTTTGGTGTTTATTTGGCATAAAACACGTGTTTAAGTAATGCATAAACCCGAAAAGTAAACGAGAATAAAGCGAGTTTTACACGTGTTAATTCTCTCCTGCACACGTGTTATACACGAATTTGACACGAGTCTGACATCGCAAAACGGCGACAATAACTAGGACTGCCAATGAGTTGAGTTGAGCTGAGTTGAGGGTTAACTCAATAAGAAAAATCACCGACTCAAACTCAACTCGACTCAAATTAGTATCAACTCAAACTCGACTCAACTCAAATGTTAACGACTCAAACTCAAGTCATATCGACTCACCTTGTTTAGAGTAAAATATTTATTTAAATAAACACGTTCAAAAGGGGTTAAAAATCTCGTTAAACGTATGATTTTTAAATAAAATTTCCGTTGAGAACAATATTGGTAATCACCAATTATAATTTTCATCTACAGAAGACTAAAATCTACAAATATGAAATTGTTGTGCCAATTTCGATAAGCTAATCAACAAATCGGTATATGATGACGACGGGTATGGAGAGGACAGTTTAGTATGTGTATGTATGTAACGGTGTAATTTTTCATTCAAAATTTTTTGAAAATTACACATTTTTCCATTTTTTATTTCAACCGGCCCAGCGAATCCAATCTTGAAATATTTGGAGAAAAAGTGATTCCCGAGGTTGCAAATGTGCAAAATCGAAAAATGTGAGTAATTTTATCACAAATCGCTGACTAGAGATTTAGCAGCTTGCTTTCATCAAGGTGAATATCTCGAAATGGACAAACTGGCAGTAAAAAAAATCCATAATGAGTTGGCTCATGAGTCAACTCGAACTCATTTCTTATTTGATTTGCGGACTACAAATACTAAGTCATGGTCAGAACTAGTATGTGCTAAGTGTCCATTCACTAAAAAATTATCTTTTCTACTTACATACACGTGATATAGTAATATAGATATAGAAAATATAGATTTTTTTTGGGAACAATTTTATGGGGATGTTCATAAATTATGTAACCTGAGAGGGGCTCCAATGATATTTGCGACACTAGTTAAAGGGGGAAGGGGATTTACAAAATCGCACCTTTTGTGAGAACCTTTTTATGAAGGTTCTCAATTATATTTTTGTAAATGTTTTTGTACATGATGGTTTCAATTTCTCTCTACAATTTAAAATTTTTAATATGAAAAGCCCCTAAATCTCTATTAGTTTCAACATTTGGGATTGAGATTTTTATTAATTATTATCATAACTGATGGAGACACTGATGAGAAAATTCTTAAAATGTTAGATTTCACAGACAAAATTTTGATGGAATTTTACGAATTCTTCCCTTGTAGCGTGATTTTTAAACCATCCTGTATTTATTTCTTATTTCAGAGTGATATTTTCTTTTTCGATGATTTGCGCATTAGCATTGATAGCGGGAGAGGGAGGGTGTGCCCCCTGGGATATGGTTATCGCTCTGCTGGGGGGATAGGGAGGGTGTGCCCCCTGGGATATGGTTATCGCTCGGCTGGGAGGCATGGGAGGGTGTGGCCCCTGGGATATCGCTCTTGGGGGAATGGGGATGCTAGACATTATCACGGAAATTTGCCTATTAACCCAATGAATGGTGTAAAATGTTACCGAAGGGAAATTAGTTATTCCTTTAAGGTGCATTCCGTTCCGTTCCAGCCCGTTCCCAAACCTGAGATATATATTTCAATATGCCTGAATGACGGGAGGGAGAACAGATTCCGTTCCATTCATGGGTCAACCATATGTATACTGGATTGTTTAAATTACAAAATATATTTGCTTATAAAGGAATGGAATTCCCTTCCTCTTCCTTGGATATACTTCAGGCGCAGTAGTGAAATCTTCACATCAAGGGAAGGGGGATAGAATTCCGTTCTCTTCATGTGTGGACTATACAGTTATCGCTATGCTGAAAGGAATAGGGGATGCCGGATATTAGCGAAGGAGTTTGCATATCGAAGTGATTACACCCCAAATGTTGGGTGTCATCTGTTTGTGGGGTCGCGCACCTAGATGGCCACTACCTCTGTTTGGTTTTGCCCCATTGGGATGTGGTTATCAAACTGTTGGGGGTGTGCGGGCTGGAGCCGCAGTGAAGTGAATGGTGAAGGATTCCGTTCCTTCCCTCTTCCTGTTGGATATACTTCAGACGAAGTAGTGACATCTTTGCACGATGGGAAAGGAAAGTGAACGGAATCCCCTTCCCGTTAGATATACTTCAGACGAAGTAGTGACATCTTGGCATGAAGGGAAAGGGCTCGGATTCCCCTTTTCGTTAGATATACTTCAGATTAAGTAGCTATTTCATATTTTGTCAAGACTCATAACCAGCTCTCACTGCAGCGTTACATAAGGAACATGCCGCTCCCAATGACAGACGAAATATACAGAGGCCGCTGAAGGGTGGGGACAGAGGGATGAGGGAAAATGTCCCCGCGGTTATTCGATATTCTCATCGGCTGCTCATGTTATACACACTCCATTCCCTTCATGTGCAGACTACGTGGATTTAAGAATCGAATCAGAATTCCATTCCTTTCGCGAAGGGAATGAGGCCTCAGATGAATTAGTCAAATCTTCTACTGGCAGAGATTTTGAAATCTAAGCACGAGTATAATATCATACGCGCTTTGACATGCCACACACCACTAACCGTGTGGACAAAGTCAAATGTGACATATGTCGAACACGTCAAATGGGTCTTTGTTAACAGATTTTGAATCGGGTATAACAATTTGATGTTGATTTTCCTTGGACCCATTCGTTGTGACCAAATATTTATTACCAAATAAGAATATACAGTATGCCATGAGCATTGTTTAGATTTCTTAAATATTTTAATTTTCCTACCATCAGCTTTCATCATCAACTCATACCATCAATTTCACGTTCTTTGAAAATTCCTTTGACTTCCGTCGGTGACAGAATTTGAGCTTATTATATAGATTAAAATTTAATTGGTTGGAGTTTTCCAGAATTCCACTCAATTTTATTTTCACGACAATCAAATAAGCTCGCGCCCGGCGGGAGACGGGCTTATACGCTAGTATACAAAATTAGCAAACCGTCTACTTCTATTCCGTTTCTTTTCATGCATCTGTCGGTGGACATCCTTCTCTTTCTCACCAAGTTGTTTGCCTGGACATTTCTTGCAAGTGTAAATAAAGCCTATTTCCGAACCGCTGGCTGCTGTCGGATTCGATTTTTCTATTGTCGTCAAAGGGTCTTACCTAATAATGTTACACTTTTAAAAAATGAATTCATTCTAAATCCTATGTTAAGTAAACCATGCATACTTAATCCGGAGTGACTTTAACTGGGCAAAGGGTAAAGGTGAGTCTAGATTTAAATAGTCTAAAGAGGAAAACCAAATGAACAGGAGTCGAAAATTTGATTTCCATTTGTGGCGAGAGAGAGGCAGAGTGAGACAAAAACTCGGATTCTAGTGCATGTCCACCACCACTGCTGATCGTCTTTACCATGGTGTCGTATTTGTCTCACTATCTCTCGATTTGGATGAACTAAATCTTGCTTATCTGAAAAATTGATAAATACAATGATAAGCCTCGTAGCGTAACTTTTCGAAGAATACTTGTTACTTTAAGTATGCTGTATGCCTTATGAGGCCCCTCCCCCGTAAACTTTGATCCCAAAAACCTCAGGTGTGCACAACTTTGTAGGCGGACAACAAAAGCTTAAAATTTAGCTTATCCCAAGGAGAAAAATCTGGCATCAGGTTGTCAGACTGCAAAGTTGTACACACCCGAGTGTTTTAGCGATTTATGTATACGCAAAAAAACCGCAAATTTTGGAATTTTGAAACTTTGAATGCATCAAAATATTCGTAATCATAAGGGAAGTCGAATGTCAAATGCAACTTAAGGTCTAATGCTAAATTCACCGAGTGTACATTCGCATTTTTTCAAATTTTTTTCCCATATTTTCACATGGAGGGTGGTAGCATATAATTTAAAAATAGATATGCTCAATTGATCGTCACACCCGGAATTCAAATAACAATTTCTTAAATTACAATCGATGACATCGATGCGAAAAAGAATGACAACCTTTTGCCTGGTCTTCCTCTAAAACAAGTCAACGAGCACGAAAGATACGTCAAAAAATTGACACCCTCTTCTGTAGTAGCTCAACACACCAGTCAAAACTTATCACATCAAATTGATTTTCATTCAGCAGTCATAATTGAGACCGAACAGACGTATTTCACAAGAATTTTGAGTTTTATTTTAATCCTCACTTAATTTTAATGTGGCGTTTAACATCTCCAGATATATTACAAATATGCAAAAATATGTATATCGTAAATAGATATTCTTAAGCACTAAGCAGCTCATATTAAACTTTTACAATTTTTCCAAGACGTTATCCACTCAATAAAATACATAAATTGTAAGTAATACATCCATATAGCTATTCTCCAATTACGACTACTTCGACTTTTCCTAATATCTTATGTTCCTGACGAGTCGTCGTGACGATCTCATAAGAATTGGGGCAGGGTGATTAGAACTAATTGTAATTATCGTATGTAGATCTAAAACCCCTTGATACATATTGTGCAAATACAGTACTTAACTGAAAAACTTAAATCCAAGTTTTACTGATTTCGCTGCCTTCTCTCCACAATTAGGCCTACACTTGTTAGAAATATTATCCAAGTAATGTACCAAAAACGAGGGGATGCTCGACACCCCACGCACTGTTCCAAACACGTCTGATTGCCATCATTGGAGGAGTGATGGGATTTAAATACATACAAATCCAGCGATACGGATTGCTTACAGAGTCCAAAGGCTAAGTAAATCCTGTGTCATAATTGAAACCATTTCAGTCGCTTAATCAATTAAACTTGGTATCAATTAAGGAGTTTAATCTTAAAATACAAAGGTTTATTAAAGTAGGTAGTTTATTAAACAAGGAAGTTGTTTCTCCATTTTAGGTGAAGGTAAGAAACACTTAAACATAGTGCAATGTAGGCTCTTACTGATCGGGAAATAATTTAAAATTTTGGTCGCACTATTTTAAAACCGTTTCCGTACGACCTAAATACGTTCTGGATGGAATTGATAATTTCAGAGCAGAAGTTATCTTAGCGTTAAACTTGAATTAAAAATGGAATTCCTTAAATTAGAGATGCAGTAAATCAATTGGGCTACGAAAAGCAGCGGAGTTTTCGAGAAGAACCCAGGTCCTGGTATTTTTCGGAAATTTTCTAGAAAACCCCAACCTAGGGGGTTTTCCCTGTTTTTTTGTGGTTTAGAACCTTAATTGTGTGCATTTCTTATTAAGGAAAGCATTTAATTATAAGTTTTCCTCACCACTTGAATAAAGCGAGGTTAACAGCACAAGTAGCAAGAAGACAACGACTTCCATACTTCGAGACAAAACCGTCGCGACTAGTAGCCCTGCAAATAATAATTTGTATCTGCTTACCAAATGAAATTACATATCCTTTCGAAAATACGATTAACGAAAACTCCAAAGCCGCATACCCATTGCAATCCCGATCCAACCTGATAAGAACGCATTCACGAAACACAACCAAAAGGACCCCTTATTCGTATACCCACCCTGGAGGAAACGACTTATAATGAAAATTCCAATTTGCGCCAAAGTTGTAGGAGATTCGGACACGAAGTAGGAAACATAGACATGCCAGAGTTCCACTCCACACGCCTGTGACCTATTAAGGGTCCCATCCTCCTGATCCTTAATCAAGGAAAATGCGCAAATCATCGAAAACAAAAAGATCACTCTGAAAAAAATAAATACATTTTTCTCTTGAAAAATATTTACCAAAATAACAAATTTTTCCTTACATCGGAATAAAGGCAGGTAGCAAGTAATCCTGCCATCCAAACTGATAACCGCTCGAGTTATCGTTATTGAACTAAAATTCAGAATCAATTTTGTAAAAACTTAACTTTTTCATTATTTCTAATCCAAGGAATAAATAATACAAACAATTTGATTTATTACCTTGAGAGGAATATGAATTTGTCGTAAATCCATATCTGGTTTAGTTCGTGATACCATCTTTTCCACAAATTTTAAATATTTCTCTTGTAACGTTTCTACTACGAAACTGGTCGTAATTTTGTCTGCAAAGGTATTTTGTTGGTGCCCTATTAAATACATCAGATGCGTGGTTCAAACTTATTTTTAAGCTTATTTGCATACTTGTCATATCGAGTGATATTTGGACCGTGCTTCCGACTAAATCCTCACTTGCAGCGAAGCGGTGAAAAGCCAAGCGATTTAAATTGTGTTGGGAAAAATTTATTGGAAAATGCATGAATCCAATCGTATCTCCAATTTCGACAGAATGTCTGGCCGCTTCCTTGGATTCGTAGACTTTCTAATTATAAGGGACAGATTAACAGGGGCGTATTTATGACTTAAGCCTGGTACTCAGGATCTACGATTTTTCCACGTGAAAAAATTTAGCAAAAAAGGTGAAAAGAAACATAGGCAGTATTTTGCAATTGACTTGAAGACACACTCCCATTTCGTACAATTCAAGTCACATAAGTACTCCTATTAGTAGTTAAGTACCCTTACTACAGTCAGGGAGTAGTTTAATACAAACAAGAGAACCTACCGTGTAGGTTGGAAAATCCGTCGTGCGTACTAGGCTTTATACTGTGAGCAAATATGTAAATGGCTCTTGTTTTGTTTCTGCCCATACCAGAAAAATCCTTTGCTCCGTGTCGTTCATAATTTCTTCTAAGAAACCGCAACTCCAGGGATGCTCAAGTTGTGCCCTTATTTTAGACTGAACTCCATGGTGACAACTTCCTTCTTGGTTTGACACGGCTAAAATTTGTCCAACTGGATGTCTTCCAATTGTGTAAAATGTAACAACCGCCTGCATCAAGGGTAGCAATAGTGTCATTGAGATGTATCTATAGTTACAAAAATTAATTAATTATAATTAATAGTAAATATACATGATTGAATTGAATATGTTTCGTATTTTGGAATTAGACCCTTTTCTTCACAAGAAATATAGCAAGTACATATATGCTTTTGTATATTTCAAATAGTTGAATTTCGCCGCGGTCACGATTTTAGGCCTCAAACCCGTTTTTGGCGAAAAATTCCCGTGGGCGTCAGAAAAATCGTACACGGTGATATGATAGCTCATTTTCTTCGTAAGGCTTTGTAGTTTCCAATAAAACATATTAGAAAGTCGAAAAAAAATTACCCATCGAGTTTTATTTTTTGGCTCTCATTTTGAATTGCTAAAAAAATTCTGACATTGACCTGTCGGTGACCTTAAAAATCGGCGACGCGGAATTAATCGCCAATTAGTTTATACAACTGTGTGCGGAATTTCAAAGCGCTAAGTGCACGGCATCATACCGTAATAAAAAATACGTTAAGGTGTATTCACTTTTTTTGCTGACTGTAGTTGGGTATGTAGTTTTCTACTATTTTTTTTTAATTTTGGAGTAAAATTTTCACTTACGCTGGCGTTCTGTAACTGATTAAGAAATTACGTTTTGTCAACGTCTTAATTTTTGTTAGACTTCCAGAAAGTTTCCGATCTAATTTTTCCTTGGAGTTGTCTTCCGTTAAAATGAATTCGTTGTTAGAATTGTCAGTGAAACATCTTGAGTATTCTGATTTGTTGTAGGAGATTAATTCAAGCGTTTTCAAAGAATCATTATCGTCTAATTTTTTATAAGATGCAATTGTTTCCAAGCAATTCATATTTTTCAGGTTTGATTCATCATCAATTTTGCAGAGCGTTACTAACACATCGTCCAAACAACTTCCACCGTACATATTGATTACATTGTTTGGAGAATCTTCTCCAATTAACCGACCTTTTCGCATTATTCCAATCTTTTTCGAATGATTTTCAATACAAAAAGATAATTAAAAAGTTTAAACCATTAAAGAAGCTTGAAACCACACGCACCTTGTTAAATCTTCGAGCTTCTTCGGTGTAATGCGTAGTTACAATAATTGTGGTCCCCAAGGTAGCTGCCAAACTGGACAAGTAATCCCATATTGATTCTCTTAACAAAGGATCAATCCCTACGGTTGGTTCACTTAAATTTTAAAATAAAAAATTAGCAAGTCATAATTAAATCGTTAAAATAAAGCCAAAAATTTACTCCAAAATCAGTAATTTTGGTTGATTAATCAAACCCACTGCGAGCGAGACGCGGCGACGCTGCCCTCCGCTAAATAAGTTAAGAAATGGAGCAATTCGCATTTTGTAAAATTTTCTAGCGATTAATTAACTCACCTGAGGGTTGAAACGTATTGATTTAAATCACTTAAATCTACTACGACTTTTAGTTCTTTACTTCGGGTCAGTATTTCTGGATCAGTTAGTCCCAATAGTTTCCCAAAATATTGAAAAATCTCACTTATCTTTAACGGGTATAAGGCGACATCCTGTCATAATACGGATATAAACACGTACATAATCAAATATGCAATAATTATTTAGATGCGATCCTTAACATAATGAGGGTAAATATTTATTTTTGATTCGTAACCTTAGTTTTCTTTGTATTAAGTTACAACGGTTACGCGATTTCGTAATTGTTCTTAGATTTTTAGGATTTTTACAAAGTTTGACATCTTATTACTTCTTCGTAAAATATTTTACGATGCTAAGGATACGATAAAATAGTGAATAGGCACATATGTACGCTTAATATAATAAAGCACAATAAAAAGGGCAAATATTAATCGTGACCCTAAGTAACTGAATGGGATACCCTAAGAACTAAACCCTATGGTGGACTGAATGGCCTTCCCTAACTTGCCAATAACCATCCCTATTTATCATAAACTTTCCCCCAATTTCCCAATATATTTTATTTAACTAAATTATACACACTAAACAAAAATAAATAAAATTTACTCAAATTTGAGTAAAAAAAGAGGTTGACAGTACCAAAAGTTAAAAATAACCAACTTTGTACACAATTTACCCACCCGTTGGACATTTTACGTACATAACTTTGGACAAATTTTGCACAATGATTGGATAAATTATACCTTTTGGTTGGGTCATCCACTTTTTTTTTACTCAATGATGAGTAAATTTTACTTATTTTTTTGAGTGTCTGTAGTTCGTATGTTGGTTGATTTCTCTATGTAATTGTCAATTATTTCAAAAGCTGCATATTTGTGAGCATTTAATCCGACTAGCATACATTCGCAGAGATTTTAATATCTCTCATATTTGAAAAGATGTACTTCCTGGGAACGTGGACTAGGGAGCCCAAATAACTGCAAGCCAGCTGGCTGCAGCCCTAATTGTTGTTGACTAATTTTTTTATGAATTTAAGAACCAATTCAAAGATATGGTTTCAATAAAAGATAATCGAGATGTAATTACCTTAAAATGATGCAAATCAACGATTTTTAACTATTAGAACTTTAGGGTCGAGATTCGGATATTAGCTATTATTTTCGACCTGTTAGGGACGGCCATTCAGTCCACCGTAGGGTTTAGTTCTTAGGGTATCCCATTCAGTCACTTAGGGTCGCCATTAAATGCGACCCCAATAAAAAATATTTGCTGAATGTCTATAAAATTTGAAAGACCTGTGGCATGTGACCAATATTTACAGATTTAGTGTCAGGATTTCTACCCATTACAGAAATATGGCCAGAATCCAATCTTGTCAGGCCCAATATGCAATTAAGCAGCGTGGTTTTGCTGAAAAGAAACAATTTTTAGAAATAATTGTGTGAATAATTGTGTACAAGGTTGGGCCTCAAGAAAGATTGCGGTTCGAAAGCTGACAAGTAAATTTTGAAACTGAAGGGATGAGTTTCGATAATGGTTGAGCACATTATCAATAGTGGTCTCCGGATGGATGCTCACCGATTTAAAGCAACCGGATTTCAATTGATCACGAAAGTAATTTGTGTACAATTTGAAAATGGCATAATTTGCCAATGGTCAGGCTTGGAGGAGATATTTGCATAAAAAGAGAAGATAACCCGCCCCAACGTTGTCAAATTTTACACAGAAACCTCAATTGTTTGTAAAAAAAATAATAATACCCGCATCCACTAGCTCCGAGAAGTCCGTAACTGAAATTCACCCGCGATATAAAATTTTAAAACATTAATTTAAAACGGTTATTTATTTAATTTAAAAACATGTAACTCACATAATGCTTTTCTCCACATGCATCGATAACCCAGACAAAACAGGGAATCCATCCTGGTATGACTTATACGCCGACGAAATGTTAACCGCATCATTTAAGGTCATTGCTATGCATAAATTTGGAATATTATAACAGATTCAAACACCCGAAAACTAATTCAACTGACATGGAGCTTTTTTTCAAGCTACACCGGGATCGACTAGCGAGTTATTTCAAAAAATCAAGCCAAAAATTAGGAATAACGTGGCGCTTATCTTTCCGTTGAATGGACCCTTTGAAGAAAAATCTTGGGGGTAAAAATTCGGACTCTTTCCTGGTTTTCGCCCCGTGGAGGAAAAAGCAAGAGAAAATTTGCTCAAAAATTTGAACTTAACCGCGAATATTTTTCTTCAAAGGGGCCATTTAACATTTAACGGACAGATAAATAAGTGTCACGTGACTCCTAATTTTTGGCTTTGATTTTTTGATATAACTCGCTACTCGACTGTAGCTTGAAAAAAGTTCCATTGTTAATTTAAAACGATTAAAAAAGATAACCATTAAATCCAACTTGTCGTTTTCCTTGTTGCACCTTATCGTTTTCCTTGTTGCAGCAACAATGTTGCACTAGCTATTGCATGCGATAAAACTTGTAATATAAACGTGTAATCTGCCATCACCAAATGCATAATTAACAAAAAATAATCCCACCTTATATGTACATATGTAGCAAGTACTTGAATCCTGTCCAACGTCACTAATTACATACATACATACGTGTCTCCATAGCCACCAATATTACACAATTTGCATGCTCACACATACATAATTTTCTTGAGTGATAAGATTTGTCTTCACAGTTTCACGATTCAGGTACAAATACCTTTACAAATTAGTGGGAAACTCCATGAAAACAGGTTAAGCATGTTTAAAACTTGATGCAAGTCATGCAATAAAATGTGCATAATTCTCGTTTGTGTGCTTGCTCAAAATCCTTGACTGCATAATCAAGATAAAAACAAGAGGTCATATTTCTTAAGTACAAAAAATATTATATCTTGTATCTTGATAAAGGAGAATTTATATAATGATTTTCCTCTTACCATGCTTCAAACGACGAGACGTCTCTGGTCGTGTGAATTATGTCTGCAACCGTGTAGTCGGTTGCATTTTTATGCATTTTATGCGAAGGCCATATTATTATGCACTTCCATCACGTATGCAAAAATATCTGATCAAATTGATGGGAAACAAGGTAGAAGCAGGTTTCAGCTTGTTTCTATACTTGTTTATTATGGGGTGAAACTACTTTGTGAGATTGATATGTCTGTCCGTCCGCACGATAACTTACCAACTAATAAACAATCGTGTATACATGCTTCTTTTTTAATGAGTGAAACCCCTTTATAAGATTTATCTGCCCGTGCGTCCGTCTGTCCAAGCCATTCATACATAAGTCAACAACGGTTAAACATATTGACTTGAAATTTGGAACATAAGTACTTCATATAAAGCAAAGTTCATGTTCGAAGATGGGCATTGTAAGCCATGACTGTCAAGGTCAAAAAGGTCACAGAAAGGTCGTCAAATTTTAAACTGGATACATTTGATATTAAATTTAGCCTCGAATTCAATGGTGATCTCCTTTTTGACCTCAACGGTAACGACAGGGATAACTTCGAACTCGCAAAAGGGTCACGAAATGTTCAACAAGCTACTGATTTGATGAAACTCAGGCATGCACTACGTATAATTCTGGTATGTGTGCTGGTTCAAAATCCTTGATTAATTAATTGAGATAAAAAAGTGCTCATATTTTTAAATTAACTATACAATGTGTAATAGTTCCAGTTTATTAATTTATTTTATGATTTTCCCCTTCATATGTTTCACACGCGAGCCGAGACGGTTGCATTTTTATTTCTCGTACCCGAAGGTCGTCTTATCACAAAAATACCTCTTCAAATTTCAGGGAAACAGGCTTAAACTTGTTTTTTCTTGTTTATTCGCTCACCCTGCGTAGCACGGGAGCTATTGAATTCCCCTTGTATGTCCGTCCGTCCGTCCGTCCGTCCGTCTGTCTGTTGACGACCTTTTTGCATCAATTGATGCTAATTAATAAGTTCCTTCGTCGGGTTAATTTTACACATTCAGTTGTATCATCGCAAATTTTACTCAGCTTTATTTATAGATTCTTGGAAAACTGGTATTAAATTATGTGGACATGGTATTTATTCTACACTATGTACTTGTTGGAAAATACAGACTATATTTATGTATGTAGATAAAGTAAATCATTAGAAATTACTCCGAACTAAGGATGTCCAAATCATCAAAGTGTTAATGATGGGTTTACATATTTCAAAATTTCAACAAGTCCTGAAAAAATTGTTTCATCATTCCAACTTGACAAATAGGTTTTCCATTTTCCTGGAGGGGTTCGTCTTTTTTGGACAATCGTTCCACTCTTGCCCAGGTTTTGTTACGCGTTCGCTCCAGAATGTTCTCCACAATTCGGGTTTCATCTTGCAAGCATTCCTTCTGTACAGAAATATGTTCATAAGTAGATATGGAGAGAAGTGCTTAAATGCAATTAGTGAGCATTGAAGGTAAGATTTTTAACTCTAAAAAAATAGTTGCATAGAATTTGGATTGCATATTTGTTGAGCAAAAATATTGCAATGCACATAACCCTTTAACCCTTTAAACTGTAACGACGACAATTGTCGTTTTAAAAGAAATGGTTTAATTCGGGAGTACGACAAAAGTCGTCCTGAAAAATCGTGATCATGGCGCGGAAGGACGACAATTGTCGTTTCTAGGAGGTCATTGATTTTCACCATTTTCTCTTCGCGACCTAAAATTTGTTGTAATTTTGAGGGATTTCTCCTATGCCAACACAATGCTAAATTTGAAGATTTTCTTCCCAAAAATTTGGATATTTCCCTATACAACGCAATGTTAAATTTTTGATTTTTCAGTTTTTCGAGTTTTATTAAAAACTCCTGAATTTCTCCTCCCGCGCCATGGCCACAACATACTTATAGCGTCCCCGATTTAATGCCTTTTCTTGTCGTTAATCATACACGTTAAAGGGTTAAAAATTATGCTAAAAGATATTGCCAGGATAAGGAAACCCCCGGGGTTTTGCTATTGAAAACCCATACCCCGGGGTTTTACCTGGGTTCTGCGGGTAGTCGGGGTAGTCGGGGTAATCGGGGTTTTGGGGGCAAACTGAGTCAGTGTCTCATGTATTAAGTTCAGAAATTAATGAAAAAAATCAGTTTTTCAGTAATTTCGCAACAAAACTGCTTATTAATTATATTTTAATAAGTAATTAATTTGTGGAATTGCTGGTAATGCCCTGTTATCATATTTTGTAAAATTTGAAAACCCCGACTACCCCGACTACCCTTGGGTATTGCTCAAATTTGCTATCCCAAAACCCACCAAAACCCGCAATACCCCAATACCCCCAAAACCCGGGGTAGCATACCCTGGATATTGCTCAGATATTACTTCGTTCTGTCGAAAGGGTTGTATGATGGATTTATATGCAATTTGTTTTAGTGTAATACTTTAACCCATACCGCTTGAACAATCTTCTTCTTATGCACTTGATACAAGAAGCAAGAATGTATAAATTTCCAAAAACTGAACTCTGGCCAAGTTCCCTTCATAAAATGGATGTAAGCATGAGTGCTTTCCCACATCATGAAATCCGAGAGTCGCTGATCACCCCCAGTTCTGATTAGTACGTCAATGGGTCTCATGTCCACTAAGTGTTGAGACTGTCCAATCGAATACTCATTCCACGCTGGGAAAGATTCATCGTAATTGCCGCTTGTTTCATTGCTCTTATCATGAAAAGAGTTCAAGCTTTTGAGAATCCCTTCTCGACCTAAATGCATATGCATATTCAGTAAATTACTTATCCGAAGGCTAAAGTATTTTTTGGCCCAACCTGTATATCCTACCGCAAAATTTAATTTGTAAGGGGTAAAATGTTTCGTCCTCGCCATCAAGGTTGCCATTCTATATTTCAATTTGAGCGGAAATTTTTCCCAATTTCCAATCATTTGTATGCAGGTGTCCGTATTCTCACCGGATTCACTGAAGGTTTAAATTCTATGAAGTTAATTCAACCTTTACGTAATAATAGAACGAATTCTTATTTAGACATACATTTCTTCCAGCAATGTGGTGAATTTTCGAAATATTAAGTCCATCAAATCCTCAACTTCTTGCACCGTCCTTTTGTAATTTTCGGATGAGAAGACGTACAATGTTAGTTCCTTGCACCCAATTGCTTTTCCCCAGGTTCGCACAACATTAAGAAGCTCGGCTCTGGAATATTTTAACCACTTGAATAACCTTTATCACGGATAAAATCAATTTCAATGCTAAAGTTGACGTGGAAAATATTTATTACCCGGCCTCGTGACCGTATTGTGCTTTCATTCCTCTGCTGGCTGCGTAACGACGATTTCTAACGTAAACAATTATATCGATGCAAAAATTTTATAATATTGTCTAATTAATAGGACGGAAATAGAAAGAGGTGCATAAATATCTACCCATCCATTATGATGGCGATATGCTGCGGGATTGGTCCCATCCGGACGATTGAGGCTGCCAATAATTGAAGATATGACATGCATTTATCACTCTCCATTTCAACCATGGGACTAATTCTTATTGTGCCTGTGAATCCAATAAACGTTCAAGGAGAACTGATTTACACCTGAGGAGGGGGCAATTTTATAAGTTTGGGCGAAGGTGAAAAGAAGTAGGTACGTACATGATTTGTATGGAAAGATGTCGAAAAAACTTATGAATATCAACCTGTGATTGTGAAATCTTTAATTAACTAAGATATGATCGGCTACGTTTTTTAGTCACACCACCACACATATTATTGCAAATTAAGGGAAAATTTATTAGTATCAGGATTTTCGCCTTCCCATGGTTCAGACTTATTTTCTAGTCATCCATAAAATGCATTTCTGGTTAATGTGCCGTTTAAAAATGCTGAATTAATTTACATACATTGTATATATGTAAGACCAAAACAAGAGCCTATATTTATAAGTATACTTCAATATTGGTGCTAATTAAACTTGGATTGATATAATTCTATTCGTCTTCATATCACTCACATCACCAGACGGATGATTTTTTTCGAATCTTATCCGAAGGCCATATTCTAATGCATTTCAATCAGGTACATTACCTTTACATACATATCACTGGGAAATACAATTATGTAAAAGAATGCTAGGATTTACTCAAGCACTAAATGTATTCCAGTTTTATGTGATTGCGCAAAATCAATCCTAGTTATTGTATGATACCCATCGGGGCCATCCCCAACCTGCTTTGCATTCAACAAGGTTTGACATTGGGAAATTCATAATTCATGTTCTCAACAAAATTTAATATATATTCTCCTTAATTAGTCTTCACATCGTTACTTGGATGATTTGAAATATTTAAGCTATATAATGTTCATATGCTATAACAATAGCAAAGTACTTCCGCTCAGCGAGATTCACAAAATAATCATACCATGTCATAAACCAGATAATATTTGACAGAAATTGGTTCAAATTTCTGTAATGTCAACCGTTGTGACTTGAAGTTGTTGTAAACTTATCGAATAATTTCAAATTTTAGAAAAAGTGTGGAAAAACGCACCTTATCATTATCATATGTATACGCAGCTAGGTACCATGGTACCCGGTAATCGTTTCAGGTAGGTTTCCAGGTAATCCCTCTATATCATCTACATTTACCAAAGTGACACTGACATGGTAATCAGATACGATATATAAATTGCCATCGACTTTCCGACCCAAGAAATTTTCCCATTTAGGCTTATCGAACCCTATGAATACGGAGTCGAGCCATGAAGGTGGACTAGTTCTTGGTTCGTGATCCCGAGACATCCTCGCTACTACACCGCTCAATACCAATTTCTTGATTAGCAAACAGTTTCAATTTGCAATTCAACGAATAAAAGTTGTATCATACAACTATGGAGAATAGAAATAGATATGAATTATCACCCTGTTTGGTGAAATTCTCGGTAAAATTAACTCAGGTTTCTGAAAAATTGAGCGTTCCTGTGAAGAATGCTGTCAAGGAAGGGAAGAATTTGGAAAAAGAATTTAGGTTTTTTGTTCCATCACCGTACAGGTAAATTGGGAAAGCTTTACGAATCATTAGACTCTTAAATCAAACGTAATGAAATTGGTGAAGCAAATTATTTAAGAAATATTAAGAAAGATTTCACATTGACTCAAAAAGTAAACTCCGCTGAATAAGTGTTTTTCTCCGATGAAGAAATATCATATATTTTATAATTGGCAAAATTATTATTCTGGTTGGGAAAACTACATTTTGGCATTTTTTGCATGAAATCAGTACAATATTAAATAAACTGCGGCAACACAGGGTACACAAGTAGCGCAATAATGCTTAGAATGCGATACAAAATATAGATTGCAGAATCTGAATCATTTCAAAATAATAAAATAATTTAAACTTCCTCATTTATATGTAGCCACTCTGAAAAATCATGCATCTTACATGTTTTACTGTTTTATCAATCTTAATTAATCAATCTTAACTAATTAATTAATCAATCTTAACTAATTAATTAATCAATCTTCCTGTTTTACTTGTCCTACATGTTAAATTCAATTTTTATAAAAATATCATTTTGCCCCAACCACGCCCCCTGGTGCCCGGGGGGTGTGGCACAACTCGGAGACACTTAATTTAACTCTATTTCGTCCATAGATTCAATTTTTATAAAAATATCATTTTGCCCCAACCACACCCCCTGGCGCCTGGGGGTGGTCCGATTGACCCCAAACTTTGGGGTTAACCTCCCCCTGGGGTCGTATGTATGATGCCGCAAACCGATTTCGATTATCTCGATCCGTTCTAGTGTTATCGAGTTGACAGACACACAGACGGACAGACAGACGGACAGACGGACAGACAGACTAACTAAGTCATCGCATAAAGTAGCTTGCGCTACTTAATAATCTAATTATTAATTTTTCGTAAGATATTTATATTTCCACAGGGAAATTAATCAAGAAGAAATCTCTTTGAGTTCCGGACCTGTTGTATCTTGCATAAAGGAATTGGAAGAATGGATATCTGAATATTATGGATCCTTTATCGCTCCTGAGTATAGACTTCACCTAGCTAATCATGGTGTCGCTCATGTTCTTCGACTCTGTCCAAACTACTCTATCACTTCTTCAAAATTTCGATCATTCTGTCTTTTCTGGGTTATTGCTTTTATTTTGGATGATTGGTTTGATGAGTCAACTTCCGAAGTAATAAATGATAATTCAAAACAGATCAAAAAAGTACAATATTTAGAGATGATAGGCAAAGCATTAGAGGAAGGACTTGGTACGTCTGAAAAGGATTCTCAAGATTTGGATGGTGAGAGCCGCGAAATACTTACACTCTTAGAAATTCAGTGTTAAAATAACACCAAGCGGTATGAATGACTCTATGAAATTGGTATTGATAAGTAATACCGTGTGGGAACAGCTCGGTAGTGAGGTTTTGGTTATCGTTAGAAAATTTTTACGGACCGGTAAAAATTTTTATACCAATCGGTAGCAACTTGAATATGTACTAAGAAATCAATACCTGATTTCTAACAGTGTCTTTAAATACTTACGTACTCTCTATTCGCAGACAGTTGAACTTTTACACAAATTGAGAATTCTGGGAAACTACGCCACTGAACGAAATTGAGACTGACGATGCCATAGTTTCTCAGAATTCTCAATTTCTGAAAAAGTTAAACCGTGTGCGAATGGAGAGTACTTAGGAGGGGAGCTTGCGAGGTTGATAATAACAGATCCTGATGCCCTTTGGATATGTGGTAGGGTCCCATGAGTGTACTAAAACCCTGAAGTGGTTTGACTCCATGGCCACATTTGCGCCCGCCACACCCACTCAAAAATGCTCAAAAACCGCTTTCACTCCGGTTTTCACTCACTCAAATCCACGCCAAAAATCCAATTTTGCTCGGATTTTGAAATTTCTTTCACCATTACACTCCCAGATAGTTGCTTTCTTCAATTCGATATCAAACTCAATATTTTCGAAATTATTAGTATTTTTAAAATTTAAAATTCTGAATGAGCATTGTTGTAGTAATCCACAACGCAAATTATGCCTGCGAAATAATCATCATCAAAATTGAGTTTGACATTGGATAAGACGTCTAAAAGTAATCATATGCGTTTCTCATGAAATCTAATCTAGATTTCAACAAGCTAAAAAAACAAGTCCTCAACATGTCGGTTCTTAAGGAGCATCCCTTCCTGCTAATTATGGCAAACTCGTGGCCAGAAATATTTAATCAAATCCAAGACGCTAATGCTGAGATGACACTAAAGAAATTTGTGGCAACATTTAAACTTGACTTTCTTCAAATCTTCGAAGCTTTTAGGTGGGATTTTGTTAATAAGACGCTGGGAACGTTGGACTCTTATTGTTTGGATACTTGTCGATATTTTAAATCAGTGGTTCGTATAATATTTTCAAGTAGATAAGATGGAACTTTAGAATTAAAAATGATACTTTATTTGCAGGAAGCCGGACTACCAATTTTTCTGAACATCATTTCAATCCTTGAAGGGTTCGAGTTGCCCGTGGTGATTAAATCTAATCCAATCTTTATTCAATGGCGATACGTATGCAGTGTACTGGTCGGAATCCTGAATGATTTGCTAGGATTGCAGAAAGATCTCCGGCATGGGGAGGAGGATGGCATGATCATGTTGAAAATGAGGAAAGGCCTATCGTTGAACAATGCCGTGGATGAAGAGCTTAAATTGCTGAGGTATTAATTAAAATGATCATCAGATACGACATAGTTTTTGCTTTTTAGCCGATGAGGGTTTGGGGTGTCGTCAACTTTCTATTTGTACTCCGCGTTTACAGACTCCCTGTCTGTTTGTCAATAAGCCCGAACTTATTAAAGTAGTTACAAATTTCATCATATTCATATTTGGCAAAGTCAAGAAACGAATTCGAAGATGTGAAAAGTCCGTATAGCGGTTGATCTGGGTGACAGAAAGCTCAAATTTTGTAGCAGATTTCCCGTTGCCCAAAAGTAAACTAATGTATATTTTTTTGGATATCAGACATATGAAACATATGAACCCTAGCCTGCTAGCCTAACTAATGTTGGGTCTTTCAAGATTATGGAAACCTTTTCTGCTACAATTGCGAAAAATTAAGGAAACTGAGGTTTCCATGATCTTGGTGGACCCTCAGTATTCCACCGGGTTTAAGTATAATGAGCTGCATTGGTATGATTAAAATTCGTTCAAAATTCTCAGGTTGATTGATCACCAAGTCTGACGACAAGGGCCAAATATATAAAGGGAGCACCCTGGAGTTAATGTATTCTCCTTTTGTTTTTATTTAGCGAGTACGTGGACGATTACGGAAAACTACGAGACTCCCTGCTAACTGCATTTCCTGGGAAAGAAGAACTTTTAAGTTGTATCGAATTTGCTGAAGGATGGTTATACGGATCACTGTATACATTTAAGGATTCCGTAAAGTATGGGATGCGGGATCAAATACATGTGCAACATCTGTGAACCATACTTTACTTGAAAGATTGCCTTATATGTGAAATTTAATACTTGCAGTATTTCTTGATGTGCATATACGTGCATATTTTATTTTGGTTTGTGCCTTCAAATTAGAACCTTTTTTTATCCATTTCTTATGAAGAAATGGATCAAATTATTAAATCGAGACAAAAATATTTGTTGGTTTACTGATTTTGCTGTGCTGGAATTCTAATAAGGAGACAATTTCGTTGATAAATGTAGAATTTAATTTCATTCAATGTTTATTTGAATGACAGAAGCATGATCTATTGCAGTAAATACATATTCTTGGCAGTACAGCTTAGGTCAAACTATCTATGGTTGAGCAAATTGAAAATTCGATTTCCGTTCCGAAATTGTTCCAGAAAACTTCGTAGCATTTGAATTTCTTTGGAAAATTAGTTCTATTTCTTGGTTACCTTACACAAGAAAGTTAGATATAAGAGAACCCTACATATCTGTGCAAATAATATTTGCACAGCTGTACATAATATGAAAATATACATGTAAGCGTGACAATAAGTTTTACATTATTTACGTATGCGAGTAGATATACCGTATTTACATATATTTACCAATGTATTTAGTTCTACTAAATGGACTGTGCTGATATGCTGATAAAATCCTTTATTTCGAATTGTAATGAATGTGTTTACAGACATGTTATTTTTGAATACGACATTTCCGAAATAATTATCCACCATTCCTGGAATGGCAATTAAAAAATAAATAATCGCAATTTTTCAATAAAATGATTGTACATACACAGGATAGTATAATAAATGTCTAACTTACGTCAACTCTTTATCCAGGGAATGTTGTAAATATGTAGTTTTCGCAGCTTTCCGTCGCTTAAGTTCAGCCGGTCTATCAATGTGAAATTGACATTAGAATTTTGATCAGTTTTAACATTTCGATCATAAAAATATCAGTACGGCAAACTGCGACCAATATTTTGGTATTATTTGCCACGAATAAAATTGAACGGAAACTAAATTGCCAAAATTCTCAGTTACTTAATTCTTATAAGATTAAAGGGTTTTGGTGCAATTTAATAATCAGAATTGTTTCATCATGTGAATGAATTTTAAGAACATTATGCTTTAAAAAATATATATCTCTGTATAGGTTTCGATTGTTGTGGTTTTCTAATTTTTTGAAAATTCCTCAACAAGCGAAGGTTTTGGCTTTCAATCAACGAATAAATTTCGGTTTAGAAAAACATAGCGTAGGTAGATATGTGCATAGGCATTAAATAATTTCTGGTTAACATCCTCATCTTAAAAAACCCCAAAATAGTGGTCAACTTATTTTTCCTCAAAAATAATCCAACTTTAAGTAAATCGTTACCTTAAATTCTTTTCAGCCGTCTTTTTTGGAGATTGTGATCGAGTTCGCTCGACGAACAAACTGGCCGTTGTCCCCATCGATGAAGGTGCCGGTGATTGGTTACGTCTGTTGTAGAAGAAAAAAATTTGAATTTCAAATCGATAACAGACTACATAAAATAACGTAGAATTTGACAAACCTTCTTTGTCGCCGTTTTTTCGCAGACTTATGAAACTCTCGGTGGGCTTGCATGTTCTTCTTGGTAAATTCTTGCCCAGGACATTTCTTACAAGTGTAAACAACAAGGGTTTCCTCATCATCGGTACTGCTGTCGGAATCCATTTTTCTACATTTTTGAAAGAAAATTATTTCAGAATATGTTTAGTTTGAAGTATCAGAAAGTATGTACACTCTTAGAAATTATGTATCACAGATAAAATAATACCAAGAGGTATTCAAACATGTATTACTCTACCATAGTGGTATTGATAAATAACATCTCCTAGTAATAGTTCGGTATTAAAGTTTACCATATCCATCCACAGCAAATTTGTATGGACACTGTATAACTTTAATAACAGGCGGTATCAAACTTAATACCCAGAAATCAACAAGTACTTGCCTCACTTTACCAGATTACTAACACAGCACATTTCTCAAGTATGTACATATGAATGCATAAAGCTTACATAGAATTTCATACATACGAAAATATTAATTTCAAAGTAGCAAATTTACATATGTACAGGGTTTTAGAATAGAAAATATATACACTAGTTACAATAATGTTGCAAACCTTGAATTTTACTAGCTGAACTGCTCCGTTTGTAGTTTGGTGAAGCTGTTTCAAAGGCTGGTGGAACATTAATATGAAAAGTTGGGCACTTTCCAGGTCAATATGATAAAACCTTTATATTGCAGTCTAACATTTCTATTTAAGTTACATGCAGGTGGTCGTCCTTCGTCTGCATATTTCTATTATAGTCAGCCATTTGCCTGCCACGAGGTATGTATGTACTAAATGCGTACATTAATAGTTGTACAACAGAGACAACGAACTCCTTTATTGAACACCCGTGCAAAGCAGACCGACTTTTGAATGGCGACCTTATGCTTAGGATTGGAATATGTATGTACACTCTTAGAAAACTGGTACTGCATAAATCATTACTGACTGGAGTAGACCGGAACAAAGAATAAGGGACATTAACGTTAACTAATGTCGTCGTAATGAAAAATTCATCACTCAGAAACAAACTACTACTAAACCGGTAGGAAGCTACTACCAAATTAATATCATTACCTTTGTGACCCTACCAGATTTTTAACTGTTTAGATAAATTTTTTGATAGGAATTTATGGGTTTCAGGACAGTGCTATGAGTTCTGCCCCGGAAGCCTGTGGATCGAGCGGCAATGTCCCTACGGTTCCCATCTTCTGGCCTATTATATAAACCACCTCCTCCAGAGGTCAACGCCGACCAATTTGGCGGCGGCGGCGGCGCCAATTTTGGGGATTTTTCGGCGTGGCGGCGCGGCGCGGCGCGGCGTCTCTATGTTGAAGGAATAGGGAATTAGATTTATCGGCGGCGGCGGCGCGTAAAATGCTGTCGGCGTATGGCGGCGCGGCGGCGTGAGATCGGCGGCGTTGACCTCTGATTTATGTATGTATGAGCTGATTGTACATATGTATAAATGCGTAATGAATTATTCATTGTATTAGCCCAGTTTCAGCCAATGTGTGCATATGTTTGTAGATGTTTCCAGAAAGGAACGTAATAAATAAGCACGTTTTACTTAATAAAGTTCTCCTTAATATTGATATTCAGGTCAACATTTTTCACACTTTTTGACAAGTCTGAGCTAAATAAGGGGTGCAGGTACCTTTTTTACACGACCCCTGCGGTACATCTGTATGCATCAAAGCTATTTTTGTCATTCGATGAAGGGAAGGGCTGTCTAATGTTGCACTCTAAAAAATAATGTACATAAATTAGAAAAGTACATAAATTCGCTCTGAAGCCTATATTAATTAACTAACCTATAAGTGACGATTACTTTTTGATAAAGAGTACAGTATATATACTTCGGATTTTATTTAATGTAAAATTTTGAGTGCATGTGATTTTCAAAATTACTTACTTTTAATAGCCATGAGACATTTTTATTCCACTTACATACATATTTAAGCATGGACTTAAAGTTTAACAACCTCTATTGTCCTGTGGCTTACTCACTTACCACATTATTTTACCAGGAAAAAAAACCAGCATAAACAGGTCCGATCCGACCACAATAAATTAAGTCAGTATTAAAGTGAAGGAAAATATAATAAAATTGTATAAAAAAACGTTTTGAGATACATATGTGTTACTATGAAAAGTCGACATTTAATGAATATCTAAGTAATTTGATTTCACACCTTTTTTTCCTTTTCATTTTAGTACATATTACAGTATACACGTTTATACCGAATAAAGTTACTTTATTAAAAGTGGAGACATTTTACTCAAACTTAATATCACCACTTTTAAACACTATGTACACAAACGTTTAATGCATTTTAGTTTGTATTTTGTCTTATTTTGACCCTTTTATTTCTTGGGTAGCTGGACCTGTTCCTTCGTCCCAGAACTTGTTTAACAAATACATTACAAGTATGGAATATGTGATTATAAACGCAATAAAAAGCCTCCAAGTTGGTATCCTGCGATTAGAAAAAAAAACAAATAAAAATAAATATGTTACAATAGCATTGGATTAGTCTGTTACTCATATACATGCAATTCACTCCGAAATTTGTAACCGAGTACATATATTTGCATATATAATTATTTCTGTAACATTCTAGAATAATTATTCGTGTTGAGAGCATTTTGCAATCTACTATGTACTTCTTGTACGAAAATGTTTGGAAATTTTACGTCCGAAATTTGGCAAGTTACAAAGATCCGAGTTAATTGTATTTGGCATAACGAATTTCATATTTAAGTATGAACATACACCGTATGGGTCGTACACGTCTTCTACATCCATATTGTCCACAAATTCGCCAAGCCTCTGTAATTTGGCGGCCGAATTTGCTGGTTTCATGGACTGTAAATCCCAAAGGTTCCCTTGATCCATGCAAAGTATCCAATCGAATTTGTAAAAGTCTTCTATGCAAATCTAAAAAAAATGTTTGTTTTTAACATTTTAAGAATTTTTACAGAAATAGGTATTTCTTACACAGCTTTTTACTTACCTGTCTGGCTTGATGTGTAAAATTTTCTATGCCTTTCTCCTTGAGAATTTGAAGTGTTATCGCGTCAGTATTTTTTCCAACGTGGTAACCCTTTGTTCCTGCAGAGTCAACGAGGAAGTCGTGAAATCCTACATTTTTAAGGATGTATTTCATCACGGCCTCTGCCATCGGGGATCGACAAGTATTATCTAGAAAAAATGAATAACAAAAAGCTCAAAATTTTATTTGTGTACGTACATATGTATGTACATTGGTAGTGGACCAAATATTCGCAAATATTTGTCAGAGAATTAATTGCGACCACTAACAAAGGAGGTATTCTCTCGGATTTCGATCACACTAGCGTCAATCGATCGCAAATTTAATTCGCATGGTACTTGCAAAAGACAAGATCTGCCAATGCTCATATTTGGTGGAAATTTAAATCGAAATAGGAGAAAACACTCAGTGGTTTAACGGATTTCAACTTTATGGAGCGTGTGTGTGCTCTTTATGCGATGCAAATATCCCTGTCAAACCTGTTCACTACCAGATCATGGCTTTTTCAGAGTTCATATTAAAATCGATTGACACTAAGTTGCTCACAATTGGAGAGCATATGCCAGAAATCTCCATTGTAAGCGGTTATTTAGTGAATTAATAAAAATAACCATCCCAAATTTTTGTTTTGTTCCAGCTCCTGTATAAAATAGTACGTAGATAATAAACGGCCCGACAAATTTTTGCATGATTAATTATTTCGTCCACCTTAGCCCTGATACAATATATATTTATACTCACTCACCGAGACAGACAAATAAAACGGATAAGCTTTGGGATGTAGACTTGTTAACTTGATTCATGATTTTTTTTTTCTTATCTTGTATCCTGAAATTGTTGTCGCTTCGTGCCTGCTGCGAATGTGAATATCAGAACGAATTATGTGATATTATCGTAGCCAGGAAGAAGACATATTCTGTGGTTTGGTTATTGGCCATACACAATTTTCCTGCCAAGTAAAGGCTTACGTATGTATCTATGTTCTCCTAAATGCATAAGTATGATTTTTGTGTGAAGCCTTACTATTTTAACGTCATCGTGCAACACTTATCGTAAAGTGAAGATATGCAGACTGAAAATTTGTGACGCTTGATATTTGAACGTATTTCCTCTTTCGTAGAATGATAAAGGAAAATATACTTATATACGAATGGAATATATATTTATATGGTAATCGATTCGTTAGTTTATTCAAGTCAATATGTGCTTCTTTGTTGGAAGCCAATTGCGTACGCTACTTCTGAATAGGTATTTCAATTTTAAGTAATTTTTTCAGCCTGCTTGGTGGTATAGTTTTATTGTAATTATATTTATAATGAGCTACATAAGTATTACACTTACCTCATCGCATATACCGTTAAACAGTATATGCATTTGCATACATACATATGTATAATGAACACAAGAATCACTGCATTAAAAAAAATATGTAGATGTATTTTTTTAATGTGGTACTTTATAGACCAATAGCTTTAGGAAGACAATGATATTTATTTTTTGCTATACATCTATTATTATTACGTACATATGTATAAATACAGCTAAATTTAGTTAAATACTACATATGTATTAGAAACAATATTTCACATTATTTTTAACAGTATTTGGAAAGGAAGCTGAAATAGATATGTATGTAAGTACAGTTATACCTAAGGCATAATTAGGTTCGAAAATCACAGCACACAATTTTCACACGAAATTTCACACGGTTCGAATGACGTAAATCGTTCTCCCGAAAGGAAAATTCTCCTTGCCCGAGTAGCCATAAGCTTAAGGTAAAAACTTCATACAGTTGGTGACATACTTATGCAGATAAGTACAAATTAAAAATACATATTTGTACTGAAAAAGTGCATATATAAGTGATTAATTTTCACCGATTTTGCAATAGATCTTAAACTGCTATGTACCCAAAAAAATTCATTCCATGTACAAAAAATCTAAAAAAACATTAACAAATACCCAAACACCCGTCCTCTAGGAATTTTCATTTTAACATTTTAACAATTTTAACCGCCAATTAGAGAGTGCAATTCGTATATAGTGTAACTCCATTAAAATAGGTGTCCGACAATACACAATTCACAATTCCCAAATAAATTATATTGTAAAGAGTTTACGCATTATCATTTGTCGCCAGCGAATGCAAACTTTTATCATCGTAGAATCAACCGAACATTACATAATAATATGTACATACATTACTGCAAAATTTTCAATGCAAATAATATTTTGTTAAGTATCGGCGTGACTCTACGCATTAGGGATAAACTCAATAGTGAGCTTTACAGTGACGCAGAATTTATTCCTTCGTAGAATACCAATGTATGTATGTAAATTAGCTGTTACACAATATTGGTAACGACCCGTTATTATGAAACGTTCAAAACAGCATAATTTACCGTATTTGCAATGGTACAATCACTCAGAATAGGACTAATATCTTGCACCAGTCTGCGTCTGGAACCATTACTGCAACGAATAACGTGGGATATTGTTATCACAAAGTTTTAGAAACTATTGAGCTAAATTGTAAAATATTGGAGTAATGGTTTTAGAAGTGCCAAATTTTCAAGGTGCACCCGTAATATTAGGGACGCGTAAATTTTTCACGCAAACTTTAATAAAGTCCCTGTACAATGTAAGGGGAGCTGATTTCTACGGATTTTCAGGTCCAATGGCTCAGCGGAATAGGTCCCTGCTTGGTATAGCTAAGATTGCGGCGGAGTTTTCGAAACTTTGTAATTTTACGCCTGTAGTGAAGGAATATGAGGAATTGGGGAAATCTGAGATAGAAAATTTTGCCGGGATCGTTATCCCCTTTATGCCGGCAAGCGTAATATCGAACACGGAGAATTGTTGCGGGGAAAAAGTAAGGACAAGTATCTCGTTGTCCTTATATCACAAGTTTTATTTCGTTTATTGCGATTTCAACCGCGAAATTGTGCCGAATGATGTGACCCTCTTGTTACAACCGTTCGATGGGATGACTTGGATTTCTTTGTTGACATTGTCAATTCTGCTAGGAATTTTTTTCTTAGTGGCAGCCAAACTGAGAAGAAGCGGAGATACGGGTGGCGCCATATTTTCAATTTTTGCAACATACATTTTGTTTCATTGGCCGAACAAAGCCACGAATAATTCGGGTCTGATCGTCCTCTGGAGTTTTGTGCTTATCGTCCTGAATAATTGCTATATCGGAGTGCTCACGAGTTTATTGGTGGCGCCTTTGAATTTAGACGTAATCACTGGGGTGAAGGGGTTAATTGAGAAAAACTATAGTTTGACATTTACCAAGTTGGGACATTTAAGTGGTGTTATTCGTTCAGTGGGAGAATTGTTGGATTCGCAGAAAATGTAAGTCTCTGTATAGATTCTTAATTGCACGCATGCAGTTATAACTGGGTAATATCTGTAAAATTATCTCCGTAGTTAGTACTGTATCCGAAACCACGGGTAACACTTGTGCTAGCAGTTTATCAGCAGGAGTTATAGTCAATTTGCACTTGTAATACTCTTTGGTGATAAAGTACATATCTGCCGTCCCAAATATGTATTACCTGTGTAGGTAATAATGCTTTGAAAAAATTATTGGGATTGCATTATAATCGTAATTTCTTGCATAATTTCTTATGATTTTTAAAGATTCTGGTCATACATTTTTTGCAGGAATGGAAACAAGTCATCGCCTCCAGCACTTACATTAGCAACGTCCTTGAACCTTTCCACTTTGGCCGACTTAGTAGAAGAGGTGGCTTTTACACCCAAAACGGCAGCTTTTGGACCTTGGGACTATTCTTCTTTGATTTGGAATATGGTGCAAAATAGGAGTGACGAATACAATACCAGAATTAAGACTAAATCTGAGATAAGATCATGCCACATTGGAAAGGAATTGAGTTCACGGGATGCAAATCCAAAGTTTTGGATTTTCAAGTTTCACAGAAATAAAAGTGCTAGAATGACGCACGCTTTCAATATAATGCATGCCAGCGGGATTCACAACTACTGGATGGACCTCTTCTTTTGGATGCAGGCTTCCCCACGTATTCAAGATGTTAACAAGTATAAATCAATTTCAGAAGTTAAACCGAGCACGGGGAATAAAGTTTGGCCTTTGATAAAGGCTCGGTATCTGTGGTATTCAGGCTCTTCTTGGTTGGCATTGCGGTATCAGGACTGACAATTGCACTCGAGTGCGGAAAGCATGCTGGGATTTATGTCGTTTTGGATGGGATGAGAGAAATGTGTGTGAAATTATTTATATACATAAAATTCCAAACTATTGCAATAGTACAACATATGTTGTATGTTTGTGTGCGTACATAAATAGTAAATATTGTTGTGCAAAGGAGCTTGACTAATACACTAAAAAACCCTGCGCAAGAAATAAAAGATCTGAAATAACCAACACCATTATGATAAATTTGTGTTAAAATGATAAGGATAACTGACTAACATTTATCACATTAACATTTAAAAATAAATTTTGTATTAAAAACACTTTTCTCGGATGTTCTGTGTTTAATGGGTTTGAATAATTCCTTGCACTCATAGATCGGAGTACTCCGGGCTTGGAGTACGTACTCCGGGCTTGGAGTACGTACTCCGGGCTTGGAGTACGTACTCCGTCCTCCGGAGGCCAGAGTACGCGACTTTTTCTGGAGGCCGGAGTACGCGGAGGCCGGAGTACACGTGGCCAGCCGGAGGCCGGAGTACGCGGAGGCCGGAGTACGCGGAGGCCGGAGTACGCGGAGGCCGGAGTACGCATGGCCGGCCGGAGGCCGGAGTACGGAGGCCGGAGTACGCAAAATTTCCGATCGCATAGATAGGAGAATTCCGGGCTTGGAGTACGTACTCCGGCCTCCGGAGGCCGGAGTACGCGACTTTTTCTGGAGGCCGGAGTACGCGGAGGCCGGAGTACGCGTGGCCAGCCGGAGGCCGGAGTACGCGGAGGCCGGAGTACGCAAAATATCCGATCTATGCTTGCACTGCGAAGCAAGAAAGTGCAGAAATACAAGATGTAACAACAAGATTTAAAAAGACCCAAACTGAAACTGCGTCTCCTACGAGGATGGATTCCAAATTAAGGAAACCGTTATAATTTCATCTCACAAAAATAATACACTCATGTCAAATACAGTCATAGTGGCAAGAATTATGAACCTTTTTTGAAATACATTTTTTTAATTAATTTTTTAATGCAGATTTTTATATAGTTTTTTGTAGACCAATTGCTTTAACAAGACAATGATATCAATTTGCTACTATTACCACATATTATATTGTTAAGATAATGTATAAATATAGCTCATAAAGTCATTTAAAAACTACATATAAATACGTTAGAAACAATATTTTACATCACTTATTTTTACCAGTATTTTGAAAGTAACTTGAAATATGTATGTAAGCACAATTATAAATATTTAAGGCATAATTGGGTTTTTCAGGCGGTCAGAATGACGTAAAGCTCTCCAGAAGACAGAATCCTCTTTCCCCGAGTAGCAGTAAGCTTAGGATAAAAACTTCATACGCAGTTTGTGACATATGCACGTGTGTAAAAATTAAAAATTATTTGTACTGAAAAAGGTTCCCAAATTATTTCCAAAAAAATAGTCAGATTATTAAGCTGTAACATGTGTACTCCAAAAAAATATATGCTCAACATAATACGATTTTACCAAAAACATATTTGGTTAGCAAAATGCCCACGTCTTTATCAGAAAATTAATTCACCCTTTATAAAGTTAACTCATTGCACAAGCCAGACTGAGTTTTTCAGCTTTTTATCATGAGAAATTTAAACACAAGCTAACTCTTGAGGAAATATATACATAATGTGCTTGTACCCATAACTACAAAGAATAATAGTTAACGTTCCCCGTTCTTTGGAACCGTAGTCCTTTTAGCGGCAGTAAAATTTGGATTAGTGAACTAGATTAGAGGAAGAAGGGTCGGACAATGTGTTAAAAAATCCGTGTAGTCCATTCAATTTACAAATACCTGAACGAAGTGTGTTGTCAAATGTTGGATTGGAAGCTTATCTGCTCACTAACAGAACTACAGACATTAAATTAGATATATATGGTAGGTGGCCTTTCAACTTGATTTACATATTCAAATTAGGACGCCAGTTACTATCATATATAATTGTAGCCATGGCGAAAGGATACACCCTTCAAGTTAGAATAGATATTCGCGATAACATGTACACTGGAAAATTCAAATATATGTGCATACTTGTAAGCCAGAAAACTATATTTAGATTGGCAGTGGCGACTAGAAATTAGTGCGCAGAAAGCTGCATTTCGCATGTCATTTATTCCTTTGCGTCGAACGGTTAGGAAAAAGACGATAGGTAAAGGTTCTCCGCGATTTTGCGCAAATATAATTGACCGATACATTGCGGGTCGTACATACTAATTACCTGAAAGTATGTGTTTGTTCGAATTTTCTTCATGATAAATACACACCTCAACGTAATAGCATTGCAATTTCATCAGCCTTCCGATGAAATACGTTGAACTAGATTGGCTCAAATGCCATTCTAATTGCAAAAGCAAAACTTGAAAGTAGAGGAGTTACTTGACAATATTTCTATTTCTTCTACCGTGCGATTCCTGGGTAATATCACTGAAGGACTAATTCTAAATGCAACGAGAGAGGCCACAATTATAATGAAAACAGTTGAGGGCATTACAATGCCTAACGTAATTCATGGGGAGGATGCCAAAATTCAACAAAGGTGACGATAATGGTTTTGGATGCATATTTGTACTAACAACAAACAAAATATCGCTGCCGTTTAAGGAATGCGATAAATTTTACTTGACACTCTGCCCGTCTGAAGAAATTTGGCTGAGCTTACGTTTACTGAAGTAGACTTAAGTCTTCCTTGTAGTAGAATTGTTGATTTACTGGAGGGTAGAACATTCTTTTAGAACATCCCATTGTCCCGGCAATCCGTTTTTTGCAAGTCCATGAATTTGTACATATTTCACTGAATATCACATTAAACCTTCTCTAAAAGGAAGTATGCAACGAAACAATTCTTTTAGCTTGTAAGTATCTTGATGCAAGAAAGTCTAAATTGTGTGATTATTCTTCTTTTTTCATATAACTGAGGATGCGTATATTCTATGATCTTCAAAAAGTTGCTTGGCTACCAATGAGTTTTATACACCCATATAAACACGTAGATATGTATGAGCCGAATGAGGGGTGGATTGACGATAGGTAATCCAATGAGAGATACCTGAATATGCTGTTAAATTAATGGACGACAACAAGAAAATTATGTCGATGATGGAAGAACTAGTCATAGCTAAAAGAAAGGCTTCCTCGTCCTCAGCAAGAGAACAAAATCCAATTTCTCACAGCTCACCCTCAAACTGCAGAAGTGTGGAGGAATAGGTATTCCAGTGGAGATAACCCCAGACTTAGACTACTTCCCAGACGCAACATTCACCGACAACCAAGACACTAATTCAGGAATAGAATGATATGAAAATATGCTACTGGCAGTAGATGACCGGAAATTGGATATGAACTACCTCTTGTCCGCCGAAATACCGACAATGATTTTTCTGTGAAAAGTGAGTTTGCCGCAATCTCACATCCCTGATTAAAAACTCAACAACGTTCCTATTATTGTATACCTTCGGGAAACTTCAAAAGAAACTTATTACTGCAGAATAAGGATATGAAATTAAATTTTGCAAATTTAGCATTGCCGAAATTCTTTGGGATTGACAGGCAGCAGAGTTTCTCCCATTAATTTCTTTCAAATGTTTCCTTAAGCCATTACGGAAATTACCCATTACGCAAATAAGGTTATTGTGATGAGTTAGGTTTTTTATTTAAGAAAATTGTATTTTTTTAGATAATTTGTATGGACGGTATGACAATCTCAAATATTCGAAAACTTTCACGGCTTAATGGGTCCCAAAATAATGGATCATATCGTTTTATGAATTTTTAAGGTACAAATTGGTAGTAGCAAAAAATTACCTAGAGAGCGCCAAAGGTGGCTTGAGGCGCACCAGTAAGTTTGCCCACCCCTGAGTATGGAGGAGTTTTAGCACTTATGTGTTTAATTTTTGCATAACTTGTAAATTTCAAACATTCCAGTCTGAAGCAAAACAAGTCGTTTAATAAGTTATGCTAAATTCTACTTTCAGTGGGGGTTAAAATTAAAATTTTACAAATTAATATGCGTATTTGTAAATATGTCTACTCGACACATAGACTAAAAGTATTATCGATTCATTCATCATTCAACACAATGTATGTATGTAAGTACGTCACCATGTGAAACGTCTAACCAGTGTCATTTCTATTTTTTCATACATAGAAATATGTATTTTGCAGAAATTCTGACATATTATTATTTCATGTCAACACCATGGGGGAATCTGTAATCATTTAATCTTAATTTTATTTAATGATGTACGAGCGAAAAATTGGAATGTCACATCTATTTTCACTACGCAATTTATGTACGACCAAGCTTTCGAAAAATATGACCCAAATCTTTATGTATTGTCGTTTCTGATAATTTTATAATATACAATTATCAGAAAAATATAAAATTATATGAAATTGACAGAAATGTAACAAATTAATATTTGATACGTGTATATTTTGGATTGTGTTGAAACCTCAATAAAGTTTCCATAATAGAGAAAATACATAGATACATAAATATGTCACATGCAGTCTGGTTCAAGTGCCGGGGGATTGGAACTTAGTACCTGGGAAACGTCACCCAAAAGTTCCGATTCCCTGGACTTTTTAGTTATGCAAGTTACAGGGAAACGGAACCCACTTGTCGCAGGATTTAGCGGGTGTCGATTCCCCGGTACCCTATTCGACAAAAGTTACGATTCCCCGGAACCCAAGATTTTTCTTCCATTTTTCATAAATTGGATAAATTTCCTAAGAAAATTTAAGTTATCTTAAATTAACCTCCCACCAATGAAGAACATTGAATAAAAAAATTAAAATTTTTTATAGTGGCGAAGGTTCCTAAAATCACAAATATGTGACAAATTTGAGGAGCGGCAAGCTCAAAAAGGTACGGGGAATAGTCACCCAACAATTATTTTCTTGGAAAAATGCGATTATTTTACAGTTATTGTTACAATTATTACCTTATTATTATGTTACAATTATTTTTCCCTAAAAATAATCGCATTTTTTCAAGAAAATAATTGTTGGGTGACGATTCCCCGTATCTTTTTGAGCTTGCCGCTCCTCAAATTTGTCACATATTTGTGATTTTAGGAACCTTCGCCACTATAAAAAATTCTAATTTTTTCGAATAGGGTACCGGGGAATCGACACCCGCTAAATCCTGCGACAAGTGGGTTCCGTTTCCCTGTAACTTGCATAACTAAAAAGTCCAGGGAATCGGAACTTTTGGGTGACGTTTCCCAGGTACTAAGTTCCAATCCCCCGGCACTTGAACCAGACTGACATGCGAAAGAGTGATTTTAAAAATTTGTTACTAAGGTGTCCTGCTAAGTAGGATACATACTTAATAGCAAAAAATTCTGTAGAAAGACTGCGAAATTTGTATACCTTTTAAAGTACTTAGGTCCATATATGCCTACATGCGTGCCATAATTCCAGGTACATAAATTGTACTTGTCTTAACTTCATGGAGATAGCAGGTTAACGAGGAGGAAGGTGACGACCGCTATACGACCTGATTTCCGGCAAAAATGTGGAAGGATCAGAAGAGATGCTTAGTCGATCTTCTTAACCGATCTGTAATTTAAAAACCGTTTTCTAATTTTTTGATGATCATAAGCACAAAAATAAATTGGTGTTCGATTCTAATTTACTTTGCCTAAAAGTCATAAATATAAGCGTGCCCATATTTACCTGAAGACATTTAGACGAAATAATTTTATCAGATCCCGGTTACTACAACTTCCTGCCCAATTTATATAAAGGATCTGAAATATGCAGGACCATGTTGGGCGTGGTCGCATCGACTGAAGTCAGAAGAGCCATGAATCTGCTAAATTAGAAAGCTGTATTAAAAAATTTAAATTTTTCATCAAAAAGTTAGTCTTAAATGTTCTTTAAGAGAGAGACATTACATGTTCAAAAAATTCGCAATTCAAATCCAGGTAACTTATGATGTAAATTAATCGTGATTAATCTCTTATTTTACATAATTATTAATTGTACAAAAACTATTTTGTATGTTGCATGTAAAGCCAGGTCGGATTAATTTCTTACCATTTTAACTCCATCCTTCCACTTAAATTGTTATATTTTTGGAAAATTTACAGCTTGTAGAGTTTTTGGGAAATAAATTAAAAATTATTCAGGACTGGAGCTTTAGTTAATTTAAGAAGCTCCTGTCCAGGCAATAATTATGTACATGGGCGTGATCTTGCCACGTCACCCACTTCCTTCTCTCGTCAACTTACAAAGTCTTCATTCGTTAAATAAGTAAATGACAAATCGAATTAAACCGAACAATGCCAAGGACCATGCAAAAATTAGTATGAAAAAATTGCTTCACACAAAAAAATTAATCATGAAAGTGAGATTGCATTTAAAATATTAATTTTTGTATAACATTTTTGGTATTTTAAAAGTCTTTAAATTTCTTCACCATTTATGCATGTACTTGAATCGTTACTTTACTGCTACAATAACACAAAGTGCTGACGTAAATAAGTGCAGAACTTGGTAGAAGAAATTTAAACTCTGACCAAATGGATAGAGAAGTGATAAATTTTGGGGCCCAACTTAAAGGATGTGAACAAATTCGAATTTTGAAAACATTTCTAATCGACACGTTTTCATACCTAATTTCACATTTGAAATAATGCCTTGACATGTGTGTTGACCATAAAGTGATCGCATCTTCTACGGACGGTCCCTCCCACTTGCTTACTAACTCCATTAAAGTCGATATGAAACATGCAGAGCAAGGAAATTATGTATCTGGGCTCGAATCCAGCCTAGATTCTATTCAGATTAACGGGTTGGCTAAGATTTACGAGTGTGCATTTAATAAAATAGTTCACTCTAATGCAACGGCAACGATCGTGAACGGTGAGGAGTATGAGATGACGAGGAGGCATTGTAACGTATTCCGGGGCGAGGGGAGGGGGTGTGATTTCTTGTTAATGATTCTGGACGTCAATTAACGCATAATTTTATTTGATAATTTCATGATGCATGATTTAAAATTAAAATGTATATTGTTGTAAAATTCAAATTAGCTAATGTAAAATTATATAGATTTAGATACATACAAATCCAATGTAACTTTAATTAATGTATTTTAATTAAAACAAATTACGTATGCATACATATTAACCAAATCAATACCAGTACGGAGTATAACAATTTGTGATGCTACCACATTTTTAACAGTATGTACACGCATACATCAGAGTCATTCGGATTCAAGTTCGGAATCCGAATAATCCGAATCCAAATTATCTCTCTGAAATTGACGTAATTTTCCAAACACCAAAGAACCATTACACCCACGACACAATAATCCTTGACCACATTCCCTTCCATCCTGTACCACCCACGGCGCCTTCGACGTATCATCAACAATTTCAAATTCTCCCCTCTCCTTGCCCACCTGGCTCCCCAATTTAAAACCATGCGCAGAATCCGACCCCAACTTATCATCCTCCACACTTATCCATAATTTCTCCAAATTTGGCATGCATCTCGGCAACGTAACTCTATGAATTCCATGAATAGGACTCCTATTCTTACGTCTAATTAGTATGAAGGAAAGCGTCAAGCTTTTCAAACTTTGCCGCTGTTTTTGAAGGAAACATAGCAACGCTTTCTCCGCGTCATCTTGCACGTCAACGTCTCGAAAGACCAGTTTAAAAAAACGTAACTGAGCGGTCGGGAAGGTCATAAATTTTTCGAGACAATCGTGTAGATTCAAAAGTGTTTGGAAAAACCTGTTTTTGCCGTAAATCGTTAGTTTTCGCAAATTATTAAACGAATCTAAGGAATCGTAGGGAAGTTGGCCATAATTTTTTAATACGAGCTCCTCAATTCGAGTGGAGGCTTCAAGTAATTTTTTGAGAGATTTGGAATCCGAAATATTATGAGGATCGCCATCCTTATTCAGATCACCTAGTTTATGATCGGAGAACCGGAGAGTTAACCGCTTCAATTTCGGAAACATAAAATCATCCGGAAATCCATATTTTTTATCCGAGACTCTTTCATAGTTGATCCAGACCACTTTAATCTTGATGTCGAGCTCTTCCAGGGAAGCGCTAAATTTCTCGAGGAGGATGGATATTGGGGTCAAATACTCGACATTTAGCGTGACCCTTTTGACCCCGTGGAATTCGGGTTGGTTTACAAATGTGGAGAAATCTTGATAGAATCTTTCCACTAGGAGGGCCATTTTATCGATGACATCGCAGTTCCAGCCAGGTCGCTTATTTTTTATAATCATGGCTTCAAATTTTACCGCCCTCATTTGATGGACCCCTCGGTGTAACAGGTTCATCACGTGGTCCGGCTTGAGATACAAATCGATTTCATACATGGCAAATTTCATAACGAAATTTTTCCGCAGGATGAATCGAGCAGAGTCGTTGCATGATTTTGAGATACGCCGACAGTTCAAGAGGTCTCTCTGGTCCCACGGAACGTTTGAGTTGACCACGTGCTAAAATATTTTGGTTAGTATGACATGATTTTCGAAAACGGGGTGATTTTCAAAATCCGTGTCACATTTGTCCTCTTCCTTCCTTTCCATGGCATCATTCAGCTGAAAAATATTATGGGGTGAGGTATGTAAAGGGTGTTAATAAAGTCCGATCCCATGAATTTTTTGGAGCGCGGTTGTTACAAATTCAGCTGGAACTTTTGAACCAGTGAAGTTATTTATTTCAAATTTTTACCATGGGAGGAACAACTAAACGTGTAAGTCATGAGCATCTTAGAGTTAAGATACAAACATTGCATCAGCAGGGGTTTAAACCTGCAGAAATTGTGCAAAAATTGGGCTGCAGCCGCAGAACTGTTTGGAAATGGAAGAACAAAAATTTTGTCCACGACAAAAAGCGACCCGGGCGACCCAGAAAGGTGTCACCTACCACAAAGAGAATGATTAAAAACAGACTTTACAAGAAAACCGGTAGTTCATTACGTAAGTGTGCAAGGGAGTTAAATGACTCAAAACGCTATAAAGAGAAGAAGAAGCAAATTAACTATGTGACCGTGCAAAAATTTGTGAAATCTACGAGGTGGGGTCACACAGCTTACAAACTAACCAAAAAACCTCTCATGTCACAAAAAAATATCGATGACCGTCTGAAATTTGGAGAACTCCTTCAGAAAAGTGGCCATTTGAGTGAAAAAAGACTTGGTGAAGAATTGCGCAGTCACATCCTTTGGACTGACGAATCTATTATTGAGCTATATCCAAAATTGAACCAACAAAATGTTCGTTACAGGACAGAAAACAAATCGGATGTACCATCAAGAGTAGTCCCAAAATTCGGGCTTAAAGTTATGGTAGCGGGTGGATTTTGTGCACGTGGCGTGACTCCTCTACATATCATACCAAAAGGCCAAACAGTCAATGCAAAGTATTATATGGAAAAAATATTACCTACCTATTTCGATAGCATGGGGAACAAGGAAATATTTCCGAATGAAAGAAAAATAGTTTTCATGCAGGATGGTGCTACAGCCCATACAGCAAAAGCGAGTTTGAGTCTCATCAAGACGCAAGTTTCAACGGTCTGGAGCAAGGGGGTGTGGCCCGGAAACAGCCCAGATTTGAATCCCCTGGAGAACCTGTGGTCCATACTTAAGGAAAATGTATACAAAGAGCCACAACCCCGGACGAGGGAAGAGCTAGTAAAAAAAGTTCAAGATGTATGGAATTCGATTCCCACAGACACATTGGAAAAATTAGCACAGAGCCTTAAACAAAGAGTTGAGGGCATGGTTAAAGTAAATGGTAACAAGACCAAATACTAAGGTAAATATGTCGAACATTTTTTGTAAGTATCACGGGTAGTTTTTTTTATACTAGCCTTCACTTTTTTATAGGAAAAATGGGATCGGACTTTATTAACACCCTTTAGTAATTATTAAATTTGGTTTTTGAATTATTTGTCCATTTTTCTTAACTGACTTCAAATTTGAATACGGGATATTCCTTAGGAAACCAAGAGAATTTGCGATAAATCTTCGTGTTCCAATAATTCCACCGCTTGGCCAGGCGAAATACCAGGGACTCGAACCATGTTCCAAAAATATCGGAAAAATAAAACACATCCCCAAATTTTAATTCGACGGGGGAATCTCGAACTAATTTCCCGTTGAGAAGAGTGCGTCCCTTCTAAACATAATTCGGGACACGATCGATTATGAATTTCAAAATTATGTATGCCTCTCTTTGTGAAATTTAAATATTTAACAACTAACCAAACTTTTCAGCCAGAAGGTTCCCCTTGTATCACAATAAATTTGACATTGTTCCTCTGCAACTGTCACAGTATTTCGATATGTTAAAAACTCTCCGTATTTTTCGGTATTAAAGGTGTCCAAATTTTCGCCGGTTCCAATTGTGTACTACAAGTTTACAAAATTATTTATAAATAGCTGCATGTAAAATAGTCATAGGCCCTGTGGTTCAAATATGTATCACGTTACAATAGAAAATTTTCCAACGAAAAAAAATTCGTAAATTTCCCTGAAATTCAACATTTTGAAAATGTTGTCATCAATTTTAAGTTTAGAGTTGAGTAATCAAGACAATACGAATTTCAATCACAATCTTTGTGACTAATCAAGATTTATGGACTTTTCCCTTTTCAAAATTTTCCATTGTAGCGTGACATTTAAACCACCCTGTAAATATGCAGGTGCAGACTCCTTAGTGGATGTTCATAAAATAAGTGACTAAAAACTGGCGTTTGTTACCTCTGCCCCCCTCGTAACGGGTCTCACCCCGATTTTTACCAGTTAGGCAAGTTGACCCGTAACGCAACAGCCCGTAATTTATGAACGTCCCCTTATTTGACTTTGAGTCACCTTCTGACTTGGATTATTAAGCATTACGACTTCTCTCTTCCATTCAAGCGGAGTGACGCCGAAAACCCCAAAACGCGCGCAAAACGGGGTCGTGGAGTCGGTCCTCGTCCAAGTGAATAGGACCCCGTCACGTGACTGGGATTTGTCCTCCAAGTCCACTTGGAATTAACTGATGGAATAGAAACGGAGAAACCCTGTTATTTCAGTACGTTCTTTCACCTCAGTTGCTATGCATGTAACTAACCTTAGATCGGTATAGGTAGATGGGATAAAAATCGATGCCTGATTTACATTAAATTTGAAAATCTTTCTTCTTCTGACAACTTGTAACTGATAAGATACGAAAAAGCAGAACGAAATCTACGTGGTTCAGCTGATGAGGAGATTTTATTTACTTTTTCTACCCGGTTGGGACAGATTGAAATATATTTAATTACCTGGAGAAACTTTACGTTTCCGGCAGAATATGTCAACAGGGTTTGTGCCGCAGTAGGTCTGGTTCAGCTCATAGGATGCTAATGTATGTATGGAAGTGAACGCGTAAAGTTAATGCTGGTCCGCATGGTGCATGTGAAAAAGGTTTGCGTTTTGTAACCATATTTAGCAACGAGTAAAAACTTTACTGAATAAAAATAAACAGTCATTCACCCTTGGGAACCAGGCATCAATGAATAATGTGATCAAGTGTAAGGAGAAGGGTTCATTTTTTAGTATTGAATGGCCAGGATTAAGTCGAGACGTGAGTCTCACGGTGAAGCAATCCTAATCGTCCTGTAGAAGACTATTGAGGTAGAAACGTTGACAAAAAGGCGACATCCTGACCCTTCAAGTTCTAAAAATTTAACCCTTCTCCTTACACTGTATCCTGTTATAGATATCCTCACTGCAAATTTTTGCACCTTTATGTTTGCATTATTAATGTCCACTTTCACACCCAGGAAATCTCTCCTAACAATTATCACATAATATTTTTTTATAGGAAAGTCTTAGTTCGATGATTAAATGGCTCAATGTATGTAAATATGTACATGCTGTACAAACGTGTAAAGGAAGGAAATGGTTGAAGACGTAATTATTATTTATTTTGCCTTCCGAGTTAGTAGGTAACTTAGTTCACTTCGGTATTAGTAATTATCCTTTAGGACAGTAACATCAATTTCAAAGCCCTTTTGCGCATGTATTTATGAATTTAAGTGTGATGGCTGAGGTCCCTGTAAGAATTGACAAGCTTGATATGAAAAATTACGCCGCGAGAACCACGTAATTATACAGGATAGTAAAGTTGTTGCGAAGGGAATATATCAGCTACCCGCTGATAGCTTTCGCGAATTGTGGGTGAGGTTTTGATAAGGTCTGCTTTCCGATGGCAACACAAAATAAACCCAATGCACACTTATCGGCTAGGGTTATTTACTTAAACTGGATTTTATTTAATTGAATCCCAATTTTACTAATATTTTACAAAAAATGGCGAGAGAGCTAAAAAACATAACTGACTCTCTGCTCATAACAGCGTAAACTGACGACTTTCTCTTGCCAAATTCTTGCGGGAACTTTGCATGAAAACGTGGTGTGGGAAAAATGAGATTTCTCAGAACTCACTACTATAATCATTTACAATATCCTCCCACTTTCTTTTGTGAGAGGAGCAAACAAAAGAAACAAACATGAAAACATTACTATTACATTGAATCATAAACACCACATTTTACTTAAATTCCTAGGCGCTGAGGTTGCTTAACTTTCCTTCCAAATCGGGTTCTTGTCTCAGCTTCTTTTTCCAGATTTCTCACAGCATCTTGACTGGAAATCTGCTTCACTTTTTTCACATCAGGAACATCCCTTGTAGAAACTTCTAACGAATATAAACGTTGCAATGGACGAGTCCAAATCCCATGTTGGGTTTTCAACTTTGCAATTCGGATCTGACCATCTCTTCCTTGAATCAGCTCCAGTATGCTTCCCATTGGCCACAAAATGCGCTTTTTATCATCCGATCCGATAAGAACGACATCTCCCACATGGAAATCTGGGAGCTTCTTTTCCTTTCCTCGTTGAACTAATAGGGATAGATATTCGCTGCGAAATCGCGTCCTCAGTTCTTCCCTCATCTTGACTAAACTCTTATGTTGATTTCGAAGAGCTTGAGCATCCAGAGCCATTTCTTCAGGAAATTCCACTTCTCGGTTGTCCTGTAGAAACATGGCAGGGGTCAGGGGCACCAAGTCGTCTTTATCTTCAGAAATATAAGTAAGAGGTCGGCTGTTTATCACCGCCTCCACTTCGAACATACATGTCTCCAACTCTTTCAAATGAAGCTTCCTAGGACCCAACATCCTCTTCAATAAATCTTTGCAGGACCGGATGAGCCTTTCCCAGAACCCTCCCCACCAAGGAGAGGAAGGAACAATAAACTTCCATTCGATTCGAGTGACCTTTGTTTCTTGCTGGATCCTCTCCCAGTCCAACAAATTAATCGCATTTGATGCACCTTCAAAATTAGTCCCATTGTCGGTATAAATAATACTTGGTCGTCCTCTCCTGCTTATAAATCGATGGAGACTCAATAAGAATTCTTCAGCCGTCAACTGGGTTACTATTTCCAAATGCACTGCTCGGTATACAGCACAAGTGTACAAAACCATCCACACCTTCTCTCCAGTTTTCAGAAATAGTGGTCCAGCAAGGTCGATTCCTATGACTTGAAACACCCTGGCTAACTTGACCCTGGCCTCGGGTAGTGGAGCACACGGAACTTCACATTTCTTTGATGTAAATCTCCTACACACAGTGCAGCGGCTCAGAACTTTCTTTATTGCTTGACGAGACTGTAGTATCCAGACTTTCTCTCGTAGTTTGCTCATCATGATCTGCAGACCGGCGTGCTTGTTGCGGAGATGCTCTGTTCGGATCAACTGATCAACAACCAGACTATTCTTCGGGAGGAGGACAGGTTTCCGGAAGGCATCAGTATCGGGTAAATTCAGAATCTTCGTTTTCACTCGCAATAGTCCATCGTGATCTTGTTCAACTTGGAGACCATCAACGACACTGGATTCAAACACTTTCTGTTCTTCCATAAAAATAAACTTTTCAGCTTCCGACAATTCCCATTCCTGCAAACCCACTGCTGCATTTTTCTTGAAGCGATTCCTTATGGCTCTCATAATATATGCCAATACTCGGACGTTCTTATGAAATGAAGGCGACGCCTCCATGTACCACGGCAAGGAGGAGACGGTCGTAACCAGCACAATCTTTGCTGCCTTTTTCTTCTCCGCTAAAATTTCTTCTTCATCGGGACTTGCTTCCTGCAACGGCCACTCTTCTTCTGGCCCTTTTAACCAGCCTGGACCTTCCCACCACTTGGAACTTAACAGTTGGCTCGGAGTACATCCTCGTGATGGCAGGTCTGCCGGATTAATCAACCCGGGGACATGTCTCCATTCCTCGGCTTTTGTTAAGGAACAAATCTCTTTCACACGGTTCCCCACAAATGTTCCCCACTGATCGTTTCTCTTTATCCATGCGAGGGCTGTAGTCGAGTCGCTCCAGCATACGATTCGTAACCCCTCCATTGACAACGCCTTGATAACACTCTTGTCACCAGTCTCGCCGCGATGCTGCAGCCTAATAACTCAAGTCGTGGAATTGTTACCGGCTTCAAGGGGGCTATTCTTGCTTTTGCTTGTAAAAGTTGAATAGAAACACCATGTTCTCCTTCAATTCTCGCAAAAATTACAGCAGCATAGGCTAACTTGCTGGCATCGCTGAAAACATGAAGCTGGACATTATTGGCATTCTCTGAATTGAAAGCCCATCTTGGTATTCCAATCTTCTCTAAAACTGACACTTCTTTCCACCAGTCAATAAATTCTTTCTTGACGGAATCTTCAAGTTCTTCGTCCCAAGATTTCTTATCTTGCCAAGTCTTCTGGAGCAACCTCTTCGGAATCAACGTTGCTGGACAAACAAACCCCAATGGGTCAAAAATCTTCTGAATTTGAGAGAGGATGAGTCTCTTCGTCATCTTCCCGGTTGGCTCGTTTTTTGGGATTTCGACAAACAGCTCGTCTGCTTCCTTATCCCACGTAAGACCAAGTACTGTAGTAAAATCCTGGCGACCTCTTTTTATGACAGATGAATGCTCCCATTGTCGGAGTTCCATTCCTGCTTCCGCCATCATCATCACACAGGCCTTTTCAAAATCTTCACGTTCTTGGTGTGAATCCACTGATGTCACAGAGTTGTCGACGTAGAGTGAGTGAAGGAGTTGTAGCGCTATGAGACGTAAATCTCCACTTACTGACTTCAAGTGAAACTCAATAACTGCACCTAACAAGAACGGACTGCAGTTGACTCCGAACACCACTCTTTTATGTCGCAAAATTTTGATTTCTTTTGTTTCCATATTTTTCCACCACAGAAACCGCTGATAATCTTGATCCTTTTCTGCAACTTGGATCATCTGGAATGCTTTTCGCACGTCGGAAATAACTCCTATTTTCTTTTTCCTGAATCTTAGTAAAATTGCAGGGATTAATTCCAATAAGTTGGGGCCTTTTTCAAGACAGTCGTTAAGCGAAGGGCTCCTTCCAACTTTACATGAAGCATCGAAAACGGGTCTTACTGGTGTTGTCTGACTTTCAGGCTTGATCACCGCTCGATGGGGGAGGTAGTGGCATGGTGAATCTGAATCCACTTTCACTTCGTCAATGAAACCCTCTTTCTCCCACTCAGAAAAGATCTTGTCATAATTTTCAAGTTGACCTTGACTCCTTAATTTGTTGGTGGTGGAGACGAGACGTTTTTCCGCGACCGATTTGTTGCCCGGAATTTCAGGCGCTCCATCCAGCCATGGAAGTGTTACTGTGTACCTTCCATTTTCACTTTTTGAAACAGTTCTTAGGAAGTGCTGTCTCGCTGCTTCCTCACATTCTTCTCTTGATTTACTTTCAAACGGATCAGTAATTCCTATTGTCTCGAGATTCCATAAATCCTGGACACTGGACTCTGTAATTACTTGAGAGATTCCCATCAGTGCTGTTGTACTTTTCTTGTCCCCATAAATAGGACCACTGAGTGTCCAGCCAAAAATGGTATCCACCGCGACAAGCCCACATTCTAATAATACTGGCTTTCCAACAACTAATTGTCCCCAGTAATCACTTCCGATTAAAATTTCAACGTCTTGACTGTCGACTATAGTATTTTCAAAATCTGTGAGCCATATCTTCCTCCTTTTCAGCTCCTTCATCCATGGGCCGACAGGAATCCTGGCAATATCACCACAAATAGTTGGGGCTTCTCTCATAAGAATTTCACGTGTGTGCTTTCCATCTAGACTTTGCACCTTGACATTGAAACTTTTGACTTTTCTTGGAGCTGTTAAGGTTCCACCAAACAGAACGTTCCTGGCCCACTCTTCGCCAACTAGCTCACTGCCCACTTTCTTGATTATGGCTTGACCTCCGGTCGACTGCTGGCTCCCTTCATCAAATATGAGGCGAACAACTTTTGACCCCTTCGGCCCAAGCACTCGAACTACCAAAGTTTTCATTAAAACATCTGTACGACACGTATGATTGGCATTTTGGGCGCTGGTGACTGGAACCGTGGCTTGATTCTGGTTTGGATGGCACACTTCATTTCTTCGTTCAATTTTCTTTTGATTAATTGGTAGAGTGGGACACATCGATCTAACATGAGATTCTTCACAAAAATTACACTTTAATTTTACTTTGCAATCCTTTGATCGATGTCCACCAAGCATGCACCTGAAGCACAATCTATTTTTCTTCAAAATGTCACTCTTTTCACTCCAAGACAGATTCTTCTCTGCTCGATAGCACTCGGTGCTCCGATGATTACTTTTTCCGCAGAATACACACGATGCACCTTGACCTACAAATAGGCTAGCCCCAGTCGGAATATCTTCTTGGTTGGAGAGCTTGTTGTGGCAATCCTTCTTTTTCTTATTAACGTGTAGAGTAGAGAATCCAGACTGGACAAGAGCTCTCTGATCCTCAAATTCTACTTCTTTCTTCAAAAATTGCATAATGAAATCTAACTCGTTCCTGGGGGGATTAAAAGTTGATCCATCAGCACCATTTAAGGGGCTTCGCTGCCATGCGATGAGAGTCTCCTCCGGTAGACTTGATTCCACCATCGGGTAAATAAATAGAGCAGCCTGATCAGCAGTCACTTTTAAGGATTCTAGCGCTCTGAGTGCCGACTCCATCTTATCATGAAATTTTGATAGTTGCACCTTTTCACTTGACTTTGAATTGTTGATCACTATCTTCAGTAGATCTCGAACATAGACTTGGACAAGCAATTTTTCTTTACCGAATCGCTCTTGAAGCGCATTGATAGCTTTAGGATAATTTTGTGCCGTTGGTGGGTAACTATTTACTAATTCGTAGGCTCTTGTGCCCTTTTCCATTGACTGAAGTAAATAGTGGAACTTATCCGCAACGTCAAGATCATCATCCTCGTGTATTTTCTTGAATAGCGACCACCAGCCCAACCAATCTTTTAATTCTCCTCCAAATTTCTTCAATTCAATCTTGGGGAGCTTAAAAGTTCTCTTCTTATGTTGAGAGTTGCCCGATGCTGTACTATACTCACTGCTACTTGGTGATGATGGTCTTGCGTCAGGATTAATTGTTTTACTCAATTTTCTCTTCATATCTCGAACTCGGTCTCGATATTCCTCTACTGGTAGACTTTCTTGTTCCAGTTCTTCATCTGTACATGATGCCTCAAGCATTGCGTCCAAAATCTTATTATCGATAACGATGACATCCGGCATCAACTCCTCCAACTTATCAAGCTTGGATTGAAGCACTTCTCGATCCGGTTCATCCTTTTCAAATTCCATCTTCGCTTCATTCACCGCTCTCGTCAGCGCTGCGCGAAGTGGGGCTCTCCTCCGTCGTAACTGATCCATGTTGAAGCTCAGTAGATCAACAAACCCAAGAAACGAACAAATATTAATATATTGTCAATAAGACACAAAATTGGACAGATATCCACCTCAAATGCTCCCGAATGCTCAGGAGCTGGCCCTCAAAGAGGCAAAACGTTTTTATATTATCCACTGAATGGGTTGACTCCTTCCAGACAGCGACTCAATCTTGTCCTCTCGCAAGATAATCAAATAAATTGGATTAGTATCACCTGATCGGTCCCCGAACACTCAGGGCAGGGTCCTCAAAGAGGCAAAATACGTGAATCCACAGTTGGTGAAATAGAGCGGCTCCTCCTCCTCGAATCTCCTTTGAATCCGGAAGGGCTGATGGGGCACCGTCCTCTAACTTCCACCACAAGAACAATTGCTTATCAAACCACGAAGCCCACCCGGGGGCGCCAAATGTTGCGAAGAGAATATATCAGCTACCCGCTGATAGCTTTCGCGAATTGTGGGTGAGGTTTTGATAAGGTCTGCTTTCCGATGGCAACACAAAATAAACCCAATGCACACTTATCGGCTAGGGTTATTTACTTAAACTGGATTTTATTTAATTGAATCCCAATTTTACTAATATTTTACAAAAAATGGCGAGAGAGCTAAAAAACATAACTGACTCTCTGCTCATAACAGCGTAAACTGACGACTTTCTCTTGCCAAATTCTTGCGGGAACTTTGCATGAAAACGTGGTGTGGGAAAAATGAGATTTCTCAGAACTCACTACTATAATCATTTACAATAAAAGTTATGTCTGTACATATATGTATGTAGCGTAGATCTACTTTCCTGAAACATACTTAATAAATCGTATTGGATTTTAATTAAGTTATGATGACCCGGTGAAAGAATCCAAGGCTTAAAATTGCCAGGTTTTGATGAGTATATAAATACATACCTGAAAATTTCATGGCTTAACTTGTCCAATATCTGGTTTTATAATAAATGCAGGTCCCAGAAATTGTGGACGTCATGCAACCTATTTTTGAAGCCAGTGGTGCACCAATTGATTTTAAGGGTGGTGTGTACCCTAGTTCCCTGGGAAATTAGTAGGATGTCAGAGGAGACATGTGAATACTAATTAGTGTGGTTTTCAACCTTAAACTGGTTTCCGTCAACAGATTTCATATGTACATACATAGTTCGTAAAATTTGAATCAAGTTTGAATGAACTTATCGCCGCAAATGGTTTGATCTATATTTATGTAATGAAGAACTCAAAAATGAAAAATTTTATCATGATTATATATTTTATTCGTATTAAATTCACCAAGTGGAAATTTTCAGTTCTTGAGATTTAAGAACATTATAATTACAATTTTGTACGCATAATTTTGAAAGAAATTGAAAATCACCATATTTGACCAATTTAATTAGTGATTCTTGTAGATGTAAGAAATTACATATACATGTTACCTAAATCAATACCACTACGGAGTATTTGCGATTCTACCACACTTTTTACAGTGCATATGCACATCATTCGGATTCGATTTCAAGTTGAGAATCAGAATGATCCGAATCCAAATTATCTCTCCGAAATTCACGTAATTTTCCGAACACCAAAGAACCATTACACCCACGACACAATAATCCTTGACCACATTCCCTTCCATCCCGTACCACCCACGGCGCCTTCGACGTATCCTCAATAATTTCAAAATCCCTACTCTTCTCCTTCCTTATTTGCGTCCGCAATTTAAATCCGTGCGCAGAATCCGATCCCAACTTATCATCCTCCACACTTATCCATAATTTCTCCAAATTTGGCATGCATCTCGGCAACGTGACTCTATGAATTCCATGAATAGGAATCCTATTCTTACGTCTGATTAGTATGAAGGAAAGTGTCAGGTTTTTCAAACTTTGCCGCTGCTTTTGAAGGAAACATAGCAACGCTTTCTCTGCGTCATCTTGCACGTCAACATCTCGAAAGACGAGTTTAAACGAACGTAATTTATCAGTCGGTAAAGTCAAAAATTTTGTGAGACAATCGTGCAGATGCAAAAGTGTTTGGAAAAACTTGTTTTTACCGTAAATCGTTAGTTTTCTCAAATTTTTAAAGCAACCGAAATTACAAGGAAGTCTGCCATAATTTTTTAAAGCGAGCTCTACAATTCGTAGGGAGGCTTTAAGTAGTATTTTCAGAGATTTAGAACCCGCTATTTTATACGGGTCACCCTCCTTACGCAGATAACCGAATCTATGATCAGAGAACTTGAGCGTTAACTTTTTTAATCTTGGAAACATTAGATCCTCCGGAAATTCATAGTTTTTATTCGAGATTCTTTCATACTTTATCCAGACCACTTTAATGTGGATGTCGAGCTCGACCAGGGAATCGCTAAATTTTGTGAGAAGGATTGAAATCGGGGTTAAATACTCTGGATTTATGACAAGCACTTTAACCGCGGGAAAATCGGGTTGGTTTAAAAGTGTGGATAAATCTTGATAGAATCTTTCCTCTAATTCGACAATCTTATCATTAATCTCATTCCAATGATATCGACTAATTTCAATATTCATGGCTTCAAATTTTACCGCCCTCATTTGATGGGCCGCTCGATGTAGCAGGTTCATCACGTGGTTCGGCTCGTAAATCAAATCCATCTCAGATGTGGTGAATTTCATGACGAAGTTTTTCTTCGTCCGTTACGTCCCCTTATTTCGCTTACCTTTTGGCTCGAATTATTAAGAATTATGACTTCTCGCTTCCATTCAAGCGGAGTGACGCCGAAAACCCCGGCAGGCCCGCAAAACGGGGTCGTGGAATCGGTCCTCGTCCAAGTGAATAGAACGCCATCACGTGGCTGAGTTTTTTGGGATTTGTTTTCCATCTCCACGTTGCATTAGTTGATGAAATAGAAGTTCTACATACAGGGAACGCAAATCCAGTTATTTTATTAGGTGTTTTGACGAATTTATTCAGGTTGCTAATTAACTTTAAATATATTGGTATGAAGCCGTACATAAAGTATGTGATAGATTTTCGGAGATTTCGACGCCCAACCTCCCTGTGTGACTCATATTATGCACCATGTTATAATTAACCTTAGAATGATATGATCCACCGCCCTCAAGTCGATCCGATGCTTTTTGGACAATCCTTATAAGACAATGTAATAAAATCGATGCCTGATTTACATGAAACCAAGGGAACTTTTTTCTTCTGACAACTTGTAACTGATAAGAAAAGATAAAACAGGATGAAATCTGCGTGGTCCTGCTGATGAGGAGATTTTACTGGCCTTACTTAGTAAGAAATTCTTACCAGGGTGAGACAGAATGAAATATATGTACTTACCTGTAGAAACTTTCCTTATTTATGGCTAAAGATGAAAACAGAGTTTGTGCCAGAGTTGCTCTGGTTCAGCTCATGCATTTTTACATATGTATCGTATAATAATGCTAATAAATATATGTATGTACATATGTAAGCCCACGCGTAAAGTTAATGCTGGTCCGCATGGTGTGAGAAAGGGTTGCATTTTTGTAACCATATTTAGCAACGAGTAAAAATTTGACAAATTCCTGGATAAAAATAACCATCCGTTAGCCCTTGGGAGCAGAAATACATGATTAATGTGATCAAGTGTAAGGAGAGTGGCTCATTTTTTTAGTATTTGAAGGGTCCGTATCAGATCGTGATCCTTGTCGTACTGAAGAAGACCATTCAGGTAGAAAAGTTGACAAAAAGGCCTAATCCGGACCCCTCAAGCTCTAAAAATTCAGCCCTTTTCCTTACACTGTATCCCACTGCACATTTTTTCACCTGTATGTTTGCATGATTGCTGTTCACTTAACACCCAGCTAGTTTCTCCCAACAATTGTCATTTAATATTTTAATAAAAATCGGAAGGTCAAGTCTTTGGTCGATGATTAAATGGCTCAATGTATGTATGTATGGTAAAAATTCCAAAATTTCCATTAGTTACCGAAATTTTTTCCGTACAATTCAAGATTTTATGAATTTCGTAATCAGTGTTGCATCAGTTTTAATAATTAAATACAAATTTCAATCCTAAATTCTCTAACTAATGGAGATTTCGTTTTTTTGATTGAAAAATTTTCCATTGTAGCGTGATATTTAAATCACCCTGTATATGTATGAACGTGCAAAGAAAGGAAATGGTTGAATACGTCATTATTATTTATTTTGACATCCGAGTAAGAAGGTAATTTGGGTTACTTAGGTAATTAGTAATTATACTTTAGGACAGGAATATAAATTTCAAAGTGCTACAAATATTGTTCATGTATTTCTGAATTTAAGTGTGATGGCTGAAATCACTGTAATAATTGACAAGCTTGGAATGAAAAAGTGCGCCTTGTAATACGACAGGATGGCAAAGTTATGTATGCACATGTGTAGCGTAGAAAAGTATTGTGAACTAGCTGTAACATATTTAATAAATCTTGTTGGATTTTATTAAGTTATGATGACGCAGTAAAATAATCCAAGGGTACAAATAGCCAGGTATGGATGTGTGTATAAATGCATATGTTCGTAAAAATGGTCGATTGGAATTAAGGAAAGGTTGAAAAATTCGAAAAGGTTGAAGTCTACGGTTAGTGGTGATGTAAAGGATGGAAATAAAACTCCTGGAAATTCCTCCTGGAAATTTTGTGTCTAGGATAAATTAGGAAATCGAATGTGCTGTGAAGCTGGCCATATAAAATGAAAACTAAATATTTATTTATGCAGGTTGTACGTATTTATTATAAATATGTACATAAATATACATAAACATGTATTAATCGATATAATGCATATTTAGTTTTCACTCTTACATTATGTAATTTGGGAAGAATTTGGACTCTTGAAAATCTCTGGAGTACATGTTTTAGAATGCATTTTAAATATGCTTGTAAAACAAGCAGCACCTGCACTTCGCGACTGAATCTTTCCGCTAATAATAATGAGACCATAAACCGGTTGGTTAAGATTATTGGCAGAACTCATGTTTAAATAAATATATGT